TGAAGGAGCCGAAAGACCGAAGTCATTGAAACCAGCGCCGGTCAGTTTGAACGACTTTTGCAACCAGTACATGTCGGGCTGCCCCTGGGACGTTCGGGAACGACTCCTCGTGAAGATGAGAGGACTTGAGAATGACACACGTCGTTTCGTAACCTTTGCCAACCCGCCCTGACAGATGCTGAGATGTTGGATAACCCATGCACGATGAGGAGTTCTCAACTCTTCCCGAGGCCAGAGGAATATTGTGACAAACGCCTGGCCAGCTTTGCCCACCAAATCCCTGCAAATGTCATGTTTCGAAGACATTTCCAGGCCAGATGGTGTCTCATGCATCTCATTCCGAATATACTTACAAACTCTTTCTTGGTGAAGCACAAATGCAGGCTAAGTTGCCAGACAAGCTCCGACCGTTCCCACACTGAACGTGGAGTTGCACTGCTGATGGAGGGTTGAGTGGATGGAGTTTGGAGGAGCCGGTACGTAATAATGATCGTCGGGACCATTAGCCATTGCAGTTATCACGCTGCTGCTATTTGGAGCGACGCTGACAATGACAGCATTCGACAGATGTATAGCAGAAGGTGCAGATGGGACGGATGGGTGCTTGAAGGGGTTGAGTCACGCAAAAATGCACAGACGCATGGTTCAGCTTCTCATGCCGTTTTTGTGTATGTTGTGTGAAGTCGGAATTGCTGTCTGCGTTTGGACTGTGCCCTTGTCGAGCCGCCATGCCCATTCGATGCCAATTCGCGCTTTGAGTTTCCGATGTGCGCAAGGCCTGGTGGCCTACATTGTGTTGGCCCTGGGGCCGCAGATCTGGCGCCCTGGCAGTTTAGGTGCGACCTACTTCCACTGCATCGCTCGATGTTTATCTGCCTTCATGGGTCAGTGATGTTGCAGTTCGCGTTCGTCCTCGCGTTTCAAGCATTTCCATCTTGTTGCTCGAAAGTGGCTTCATGCGGGCTCGGCTAAGAATCTTCGTCAGCATTGCAAGATCTCATACAACTGGACAGCAGTTAGCACCAGTTTGGCCGACACATGGTCCAGGTTGAACGCTGACCCCAGACGCAAGAGATGCAAAAGCCTGGTCTGAAGCGACATGCTTCGCGACAGTCTTATCTGGCAAGATAGCTTGTCCTCTACACAATCGCCCGTGAAGAAAACTGGTCGGCAAGAGGTCAGGATACGAAGGCGGTGCCGCAGACAAGCAAGTAAGTTAATTACTTGCTGTACTTGTTCTTCCTTGTCTTGTTCGTGTCCTTGATCGCAGTATGACGGGCTCTCCTGCCAATGCTGCTGCCAGTGTTGGTGGTGCAGCTGGTGCTGGTGTCGCTGGTGCCGCTTCTGGTAGTGGTGGCTGGTGGTGATGCTGGTGGCTGTAGTTGTAGTGTTTTCTGGTCTTTGCCGATCCTCTTGCTGCTGCTGCTGGTGATGCTGCTCATCGTCGGGACCGCCGTCATGGCTGTCGCACCGTTCCATGGCTGCCGAAGTCGCTGCACTCGTCGTCTTGAAATCGGCATGAGGACGTGGCTAATGTGTCGACATGGTGAATGTGTCCGCGTTTTGTGCTCCTGCTGGCTGGTGTTAATCACTTGTCTTGCCAGAGCCTTTTCGAATCCAGGCTCCTGGGTTTCACCGTGTTCCTCATCCTCTCCAACCCCACTCTGAACGAGACCAGCTACCTTGTGCCGTGCTTGATGTTAGCTGGTGCCTTCTGGGGCTCTGAGCTGGTATGGAGAGGCTTGGAGTCAGAGGCTGACTGCTGTCTGCTTCTGTAATTGCTAACTCGTTTGCATGGTCTGCCGTTGAACATGCGACGTGCCCATACCGTGAGTATCCCAAGACTTCTGCACCCAGTTAATGGCGCTGACGGTGGGCTTCGTCTCCTTGCTGCCGGCGGTTATGTTGGCAAACGAATGCAAGTGGTGTCTTGATCCACGAGCTGGGCTTGAGCACTAGAGTGTATTTAAGGCTTAAGCAGACTCCCAATCCATGGCTTCGACTGAAGCCAATAAGACACAACTTGTGACAAAGTGCCATGCCAGTCTGTTCTACCGGCCGCCTTGCATTGAGCTGCGAGTTGAAGCCTTGTGAGGAGTCCGATTGCTCGATTGCTAGCCGTTCACAAGTGTTCGCAGATGCACTTCTCGAAGAAGCCGAGGACGTTGGCTTCTTGGGCCCCGCCACAGACAGAGCCCCAGACGCTGCAGTTGCTGCACCTAAGACATCCCCTTTGCCTAACAATGAGGTCTTCTGACGTCTAGAGCCTGACTAGTGTGTGTAATTGTGTATGTGTGTGTCTCTGAGGCGAGCATGTCTGCTAGATGTTGCCGAGAGCTACGGGGCCTCATCAACCAACCACAGGCCACAGATCACTCAAACAGTTGCGGCATTCGAGATCGCTTGGATCTTCGTCGGCACAGCGACAGCTGTCCGGAAGATGCTGCATGTGATCCGGCCTTGAAACGAACACAGCGTCTTCCTGTTGCCACATCAGAAGCTGCCACAGGAGCCTGCAGGTTCACTGTCCAGCAGACTTGCTGTGGCCATATGTGGCCTTTGTCTCTTCTGACTTTTTGGCCATGTTGTATTGGACTTTCGAGCTCAGCCTTGAGTAAGATGAAACCTTCGACCTGGACTTGCACTTCAAAAGAATCGCAAAGCACCATGCTTGTGCAAAACATGCGTGGCTCGGATGTTGCTAGAAGAGACGAACGCAACAAGGATGCATCAAGAAACGAAGCTTGGCATAGACTAAGTGGAAGAGAAGTGAAGCAAGACACATTTACACTGTTACACCTGAGTGCACTTGTGAACGGTAAGCAAGATACATCTGCATCCCAGTGCTGGCCGAAACGAAGAAGCAGACTGCACAAGCATTTTCGAACACAACTTACACATAGCAACGCAGCCGCACAAGTGTCATAAACACCTTGGCATTTGGTTGCTTGTTTGCCTGCATACATGTGTTTACCTGTCTGGTCCTGCGTGTGTATATGCATGCACACGCGTACACGCAGATCAGGCCCTACCGCTCTCGGAACGCTCTGCGCCTCGGCGCCTCTGGGGCACCGGCACTCCGTGGTGCTTGGCCACAAGAGAAAGGGAAAGGGCAGAGGAGGGGTAAATTGGCTGCGTTGCAACGAGGGTTGTCGATGTTGGGCACTGGGCCGTTGAGGATCCTTCAATGTCGTGTTCATGTGGGCCCATCAGTGCGTGTCCTGCTTGGTTCTGCTCCATATTCGGGCCTTGCTGGCCTGGCATTGTGCTATGGCGATGCTAGGGATTGATGTATCAGTACGCTACTGCCAGACTTGCGCGGCTGCCTGCTAATGAATCGGATGAAGTCATGTTAAGATGAGGAAGACCTGCTGAATGCGACCGCGATACAATCGAGATCCGGGGGGACATCGCTTCAGACGGAGATTGGGGGCATTATCGGTGCCTTCGTGCCCCCAACTCCACAGATCGCGAGCCAGAGAGTGACCAAGAAATTGTTGTCGCGACGATATGAGTGATACTTGCTGCTACTACCTGGCGGGTGAGGCTCGAGGCCCAGAGGGCGACGAAACACGAAATGAACAGTGGCAATAAAGTGGGTACGCAATGCGGATGTCGCCGAATTCGGGTGCCACACCTGTTTTTCACTGGCAATGCTTCAGGTGTGTCCTGCTTCTTTGCGGCCGCCGGCGCAGCGTCCCGGATGACGGGAGTGAGGGGATCGTGGGGTCAGATGGGAAGGAGCGGGCCGTACCATCTATTTATGTTGATGTGAAGTAACGACACGCCCACCACGGTATCCCGCATACACCTTCACGTTAAGTAGGTGGTGTGGGGATATGCTTTGGGTTGCTGCTACAGGGCATGAAGCAGGTGGCGAGACTTCCTCCACCGAATCGATCTAGGGTTACCTGCAATGCGGCGAAGTGTACAGTAGGTTTCCCGAGCCGGCGAGAAAGAACTCCATTAGCCCAAGGTATGGCATGCGCAACACAACTCGTTGTCGCCGCATCTCGTCGCTCTGCTTCTGTCGCTCATCGCAGCTTCCTGGCAGCAGTGTGCTTCTAATGTGCTCGTGCGCTTGTTTAGCATGGGGCCCACCTAGGTCATGTCGCCTCTCGCACCTTGCAGATCCATGCCTGAGTGATGGGCAGGAGTCGTTGAAGTTCCCATTCCTACAAAGTACATCAGATGCGGCGCTCAAAGACGAGAGCATAGCATTATACACCTTGAGTCTGCCAGCGCGGCAGCATGACGTCTCACTGGAATCACGCGTAGAGGGTTTACCACATGCCCGGAAGTCTAGACATGGAGGACCAAAGCGTCCCAACAGATTTTCCTGATCAGGGCGGTTAAAGTGGATTTCTGAGCTTCAGTGTTTCGAGCACCTCACCGGAGCGCCGGAGTGGCGCGGGCGTCTGCAGACAGCGCTTCCCAAAGCAAGGCACTAAGGCACGGCCTCACGGTGAGCTCACGTCCCTTCATGCCAAGGTCGCAGGCGACAAGGGCTAGGCACTCGGTAAGGGATGCCCAGCACGGCTGGGCTCTCGCGGATCAGCGGAACCAACTGTCGTGAAGCCGATGCCCGCTTCTGGCTAGTGATTGCATCGGCTGCACCAAGGTGCCCCCAATTCGCAGACTTCCGGAACACGTGTTTCTGCTACAAACGTGCGGGCCCCAAGATGTTAGCTTGAACATGCCGGATCCCAGTTCGCAGCTCTCTCGAATATGGGAAGCTCGGCTTTGCAGTCCTGTGCTTCTTGCAAGGAGGTCCCACAGCCGAAGCCCCTCGCACTGAGCAAGCTCGGTGGCGGCTTGCCTTGCATGCCAGACTTCGGCACGGGAGTTCTTGTCAGGGTGTGGAAGGCTGCTCCAATCTAGTCCCAATTTGGTGGCACCCAAGCTTGGTGATCGACCTCTTTGATCCTTGGAGCTGAGCCTAAGCATCGCCGATTTTTCGCTGCTGTTGGCCTCTAGCGAACGACCAGTGCTGTGAGGTCTGACAGCGGTGCCGACGCGCTTGGGACCCCCGCAGCTTGCCTGGATTTGAGAGCGGAGAGTCACTGTCGACTGTGGCACAGCACGCTTTGGACCCGTTTTGGAAGCTGCAGCTTTGCAGACTCGCGGCCTCCTGCAGCCTGTGGTTCTGACCTGGCCATTGTCGTCTTAAGCTTTTTAGGTCTCTCCATGCCCCAGGTCGGGTTTGACTCGGATTCCAGTTTGATTTGCAAGCGCATTGCCTTTGGCTGGAGCGGGGTCGGAAGCCAGTTGCAGAAGTTGGCGGGAGTAGCAAAGAAATGTCCCAATGTGCCTTGTTCAGAAATTTGGAAAACCATGCGAGGGTAGTAATACTGTTTTTCGATGGAAGAGCAGCTGAGGAAGAAAGACGCCGCGGCTGCAGTCCCTGCTGGCTCGCCACGACCCTGGTGCAGTTTCGGGCTATGTGTTTTACTTTTTTGGGTGTGCTGTTGGTGATGCGTCACGAGTCGTGGCTGGTCCGTGTTGGTGCTGTGCGATTTGGTCAACATGCCATGGTGCGGATTGCACATCATGCCCAACTTAAGCAGCATAGCATGATTCCATTGGATCGCCGGCAGAGGGTGAGAGGTTGGTTGTCTACGCGAGGTAATCTCTAGTTACTCTAGTTGGCCCGGTCAGCAGAGCCGCCTTCGTGTTTGCGGTTCTTGCGAGAACGTCTCGGGGATGTTTCGGGTCGACCTGAGCAACCCGCGGACCAAGGCCATGACGCAGCTGCTTGGCCCTGAGTGAGGGCTGGTTGGGTTGGTGTCCTGCCTTGCATCGCTGCGAAGTCACAGAAACGAGTGGGCTGAACTTGTCTCATGCCGATATTACCGAGGAGTGAGCAGAACAGGAGGTGCTTCACCCTGGAGTGAAGGCTACAATCGCAGCCCTCAGCCCTTTTCAACCCACGACCCCTCGGTTTCACATTGCCCCGAACTCCATCAACTAGCCCGCACCCCTGCAGCCCTGACCTGGCCTTGGCCACGACCTCCGGGTGGACACAGCTCACGTTGGGGCAGCGGTCACAGCGCGCACTGCAATTCACCCTGTGCCGTAATCCATACTCTCGTGACTCTGGGTTGGTCTAAGCAGCTGGCGCCCGGGGCCGCAAAAGCGTTGTGACTGCTCTGCCCTTAGCAGCTTCCAGGCATCCTTTTCGTCTGTGGTTTCGGCCGTTGCCAGGGCCAGCTAGTTCCCTCCAAACTTGGCAGCATGTAATTAGCAGCGTCAGAGGGCCCTGGTGCCTGCCGTGATTTTGGCCTGTGCTGGAAGTCTGCACGCTTCATGCAGCAGTGCTACGCAATGCTACGCAATGCTAGACAGGGCTGCAACAAGCAGTTTTGATCGTCCGCCCTCCGCTGGCCAAGGGTTTTCAGTTCAGTTCAGAGGGTAGAGTGGAGCGTAGAGAGGAGCTCAAGGTTCAAAACGGCCAGCTTCACAAAGCGAGGGTGTCATTGTGCTGAAATCCTGTATGTGCAGGTGCTGTTGATGCATCACCGGCCTGAAGGAATCATAATAAGCTGAGACATTGGTTCTGGGCATTCCAGGCAGTAAGGGTTTAGCTCGACTGCATGTTGCCGGTGACTGCACGACAAAAAATCAGTGGTGGTTGAACCAGAGTGAGGAGCTCTATCTTCAACTTAAACCCAAGTTAGCCTTAGCTTTCATCAGCAGCTGAAGGCTGCTTCAAATTGCAGAATGCGCCTGACACAAGCTTCATACTGGTCTTGGCAAGTCACTTGCAATCTGAAAGCAACGAAGCGGACGGCCCCGACCAGTGGGAAGCAAACGACTGGGAAGGTCTTACCTTGGCAGACAAGAATCCGAAGTCATTTCCTGTGTACCCTAAGGCACGCGCACTCAAGGCTGTGGCGTGCCAGAGAGCTCCTCCAAGTTCTTCCTCACTTGTTGCCGATACTCGTCTGCGGCGGCTTCAGCCAATCCACACAGAAGCTTCTGGTCTTCGAGACATAACGTTCCGAGACTCTGAGACCGCTTGGCTCCTCCTCCTTGAACCCACACTATTCAGTGGCGCAAATTCAAGCTCGCCCAGACATTGTTCGTCACAGAGGTGCTTTATGCGCCGGATCCTGCGACTTTCTGACCGGCTGCCGGAAGGAAAAAAGCCCGGGAGAGATGCAGGCCAGAAGCAGCTTTGAAGGGAACAACCAAACGGCGTGTGACAAACTTGCTACTGTTTCGTGGTTGACGGTGACTCCGCTTCTGTTGGATCTGAGTCTATGGCTCAAGCCGAGACCCTAGTGTGTGTGTGTGTGTGTGCCCAATACAGCGAGTTTCCATGGCAGCTCGGTGGCAGATAAGCCAGCCCAAAGTGTTTGATGTCTGCTGGCTTGCAAGTTCCGTGGTGAAGGCGGCGGCAGGAACGTTCAGAGTCCCCTTGGCTTTCAGAGACCTCGGGTCGTAGGCAGGCCGAAGTTTGAAAAGCGCCCGAGGTGCCCGCTCGGCTCAGCCGCGGGCTGCGGCTGCTTTGGCTTCTTGGCAGCAATTTGGCTTCAGGGCGCTCTGGGTTTGTAGAGCCAGGAAGGATCGCGAACAGGTATGCGTATTGAGTCGCAACACCTTGTCCAGAAGCTGGGCGGTACGACCGCCAAGCAGAAGCAAGAGAGCACCCGTCAGCAGTGACGGTCAATTGCGAGAGGTTCAGCGTCCTGCTTCTCCGCTCCGCAGCGGTGCGCCCTTTGACTGCGAGCGGTCACTTCGTGGGCCGGATTTCAGTACGGGCCAGTGTGTACGGGCCATTACGGGCCAGAAAACTCTGGACTTAGGCCCGTCCTCCTACGACCTCCGTGACCAACTGTCCGGCCGTGTTTGGCCTCTCGTGCGGCGAGTGGAGCCCGGAGGCACCAATTCCTCAAGCTTGCAGCTCCAGTCGACTGAAGAATTCGACCTGGAATTGTTGAAACTCAGATGGTATATCTCTGAACAGAGCAGCGTGTCTGTGATATCTTTCCGCGCTGCAATGAGTGTCATGAGCAGCGCAAGAAGCACCAAGCCGGGACCATGCCCTGATGTTCACCAACCTGCAGGTTCTGGATCTCTAACTGTGGACCACGACAGGCGCCCGACAGGTATGTTCTGTTTGGGTTTGGTTCCAGTTTCTACTGTGCTTGTTGGCAACAGGAATTGGAATTGAAAAATGCTTGCAACGAGCATAGTAACTAGTAACTAGTAGATGGAAACGTCAGTCCGTTGTGTCTTAGCATGCAACCGAAGAGAGGCGTGGTGGCCGTGCCAGGCACAGCTTTCATGCGCCGGCAGCGTGCGCTTCCCACGAACCTCCCGTTGCTCGTCCTTGGACTGGCGGGAGTGAAGTAGCCACAACAGGCAATCGCCTCGATAAAGTCTTCAGCTCCACGGCCAGCATGTGAGCTCTCAAACTCACACAGCAACAGCAGGAGCAACTGTGCCCTCCCACATCTCCAGCGCTCGCAAAAGCATCAACTGCAAAGCAAAAGGGGGCCCCTATACGTCACAGCCGTAATGGTTGCACCGCATATCCAACTCATGGATGTAATTCTGAATCTTCAATATCATTCCATGTTGACTAGTTACTAGTTGTGCCGTTCACTGTCCGACCTACTGCATGGAGGACGTTGTTCTTCGAGGTCGCCATGAATAATGATCGCCAGTGGAGTTTTAAAGGTGTTCTGTGTTGCTGCACCCAATTAGGAATTGGAATTGGTGAGCAGACTTTCCTTCGACAGTAGTTATGCGACCACAAATCTCGAGGGTGTTCTGTGAGGCTTGTATGTTCGGATCGAGCCATGCCGACACCCTAACGCGGAATATTCAAGAGGGGCGCAGACAAGCCGGGATGGTTTTACTGATCCCCCGACAAGGCTGGTTGCCGGGTGCTACAGCATGCATTTCGGCGGTATCAGGCCGCGAGAAGAGCAGACAGCTTGAAGGTCAGTCATAGACACTCTAATTGCTGGCATGCTGAAGCCGCGATGTTCTTGCTGGGGCACCGCGCACGCCCCATGACATGTGCAGACTCTCCATGGCGGTGCGAACTCCACTCTGCAGTCAGGCTCTGTTCTTCCCTCATCATGCAGACGTCGTGCCTCGGAATATTTATCAGAGAGGACCCGGATGGACCAAGCCGATCTGAAAATTCACGATGCCACCCGAGGACAGCTTCTCACTACTGCAAGAGGGTATGATCCATGCGCTGGACAGCAGGCACGAGCAGAACTCCTTCACTAGTTTCGTACTGCTCACCTCCCATGAAGGGAGGAGCCTGTGTTGCGGATCGTGTGCATTCGGACGTATGAGCACGCCTTCGCCAGCCTGCGCCGACTGCGGAAACATTGGGCGCATGACCGGCAACAAGGAAGGCCAGAGCTGGTATGTCGTGGCCGTGTGTTGTCTCAGTAGACTCAGTAGATATTGAATTTGATGTCAATGACCCAGTGACCTGCTGTTACTGTTCCTTCCGTCGGAAGCATGAGCAGCACGGATTCAAAAATGGAATCCTGATCTGCAAGAAGTGCTTATGACCTGACGCTTGCTTACCGCGTCAGAAATGCCGCAGCCACCCTCTGGCAGGCTTACTTCTACTGCACTCGCTACAGACATGGAGGTGCAGGACGGGCACTGTGCAGTTTAGAGGGCTTGCGAATGGGGTCGTGGGCGTCCTATATAGGCTTGTGACATCTTTCACAGGTACTTGTACCAATAGTGAGACCATGAGCGGGTGCACTTGGAGCTGCAGGACCTTGCTGCCCCCCTGGAGTTGGGGGTGAACGAGTCCTACGAGCTTGCAGTCTCGATGCAAGGCTTGTCCATCCCGGTTCCATTTCCTGTAAGTTGCCCATGAGGGTCACTGCGTCTTTCAGGATGTGCAGGGCTTTGGCTTTGCCTTGTATTGCACGTTGTCAGCTCACAAGTCTGGCTGGAGCTTGCGTGACTTTGGTCTCGAAGGAGTAAAGCTGAGGGTCTGCCGAAATGCTGCTTCAATAAGATCTGGGTATCTTTCCGAGGCCAGATAACAGTATCGGCGCAGACAGTCTGGGGTGCCCTGCACGGCCTCGAAACTCTCTCGCAGCTGGTAGACGCACGGCTGCAATCCACACAGCTTGCCCTGTTGGTGGTAGTCAACATCGCCAGGACGGGTCCAAGATGCGAAACTCGATTGAAAAATGTTGCAAACTCTGCGATGCAGCTTCGAGGAGTACAACTTCACCACGGACACCTATGCCATCCACGAGATTCCATTCCGAATTCAGGACGGCAGAACCCTCGAGATTGGAAAGTTGGAGAATGCAAAGCCACGCAGCGGAACCTCGACAAGTAGCCTGAAGCGACTCTCATCCAGGACTCCCCGAGCTTTCCGCATCGGGGGCTGCTCGTCGACTCCGCACGGCACTTCCTACCCCCGATCCGTGCCGAAGCTTCGGTACAGCATCTTTTTCCATGTTTTTTTGTTCGGCGAGTCCAGATTGGAACTGCAGAACCCCTGATGCCACGCAGCTGTGTCAGGTCTCAAGCGAACCATCGAGGCGATGTTTCATGTCGGCAAGGGCAGCTGGAAAGTCGGGGACGGGAGATGCCACAGCAGCCTAGACTCAGGCATTTTTAGCCTTAGATGCTTCAGTCTAGAACCTGCACTTGTTGGACATAGCCCAAGGACAGCTAGCTCTATTATAGCCGTGGTTGTTTTTCCGCGTTTCTTTCATTATGAGCAGGCCTGGAAATATGAATGGTTTCAGCCGAAGACAATTGCACGGAACTGTGTGCGGGGAAGCACGCGGAAGCTCTGCGGAAGCAATCGGTCCGCGGAAGGTCCCGCGGAAGCTCCACCTTAAGATACGTCACAGATATCCCAAAGGCCATTCCGGGAGGATTGCAGGCTCCAGGTCCTTGTAAGAAGCAGATCATTAGCAGCATCACCACCACGCTCGTTGTTATCATGCATTTTGCCATGTCCATATAGTTGTTCACGAGTGTTTGCAAACTTAACCGTAGTCAAGCGGTGACGACGAATAGCACATCTGCGTCATCATGATGATGATCATCATCTGCAAAACTTTTCAGGATGATAGGGGACGTGCGCGGAAGCTCAGCGGAAGGTGGAACCCTAAAAGTTGATCCCAAGCCCTCCAGAGCTTAAACCTGATCTGGGATTGAAAACCGTTGAAAGGAAAGCCGCTGAAATTCCCTACCTCGAAGGCCTTAGACCCAATCATTGGAACCGCCGTAATTCAATACCTCTGGGCCTTAAGCAGGAAGTTGGATTGGAAACCGAACGCAAAACCCAAATTCCGTACCCGGAATGCCTTACCCGCAATTATGGATTGGAAACCCGCCGAATTTCCCTATACCCCCAAGGGCCCAAGGGTTTACACGCCGAAGACGAAAGCCACCTAATTTTAAGCCTCTTCCGATGTGCTTCCTTGTGTCTTCGGGCGCTTTATGTAAGCTTGCATCCTTTCTTGGTGGTTGAAGTTGTACCCGTGGTTTGCCCAAACAAACAGCCTCCTCAAGACTTGAGCCCCCACTTGCGGAAGCAAACGCCGCAAACTCAGCGAAACAACCCTTGCGGAAGGGATCCGCGGAAGCGGTATGCAAATTGAGGCCCGCGGAAGCAAAACCCTCGCGCGCGGAAGCATTCGGAAGGGTCCTGCGGAAGCGTTTCTTTATTTCCATGCACACAAACACGGATAGAAACTACAGCTCTATTGGCTTGATGGCGTATGCTAACCCTGTTGTTGGCATGGCTGTATTGCAGCTGTGCACCGCGCTAATCCACATAGTGGAGCACCGAAGCAAAGAATAGGACATCGCACTTCGATTGGTCATCAACGAGTTTCGCCTGACAGTCGGTCCGATATGTTGACAGTGTCCTTTCGGCAGCTTAGGTCCTTCGCCAAGCTCAATGTGCTGCATTGGCACCTGACAGAGGATGAGCCCCTTAGCTGACACAAGTAGCCCCGACAACTGTGTTGCTTCTCGATTCTGGTGAGAATCATAGCACACATACGCCCAAGGATCAACAAGGATCATTGTGTGGCAAGAACTTCATGCCTTTGTCAACAGTCCCTTGAAACACCGTCCACTGTAATTCCCAGAGAACAACGATATTGATTGGTGGATGATGTTTTTTGTTGTCCGAGCTGCGTGCTGCGTGGTCAGGCAAGTCAGCAATCAGGCGTTCACGGATGCTTGAAGTGGTCGGAGTTGAAGCTGAGCAGGTCGTTCTCGATGCCTAGTTCGTCACACCCGGAGCTCGCAGAGAAGGGTGCCTGGAGCGCAGACGAAAGGCGCTCTGCCATGAGCGACATGTTTCCCGTGAAGTCCGGTTCCGATCTCTGTTTAAGAAGCGTAGATCCCGAAACGGTGACGCCGCACCACGACGACTATGACGACCACGACTTCCGCGACTGCCTTGAGGACGGCATGACGACCAGGACGACATTGACCACCACGACCACCAGGAGATCAGCAGGAGACCACCCCACTGAGACAACCAGCAGACCCCAGAGGACACGCGGACACGGGGAACGCTTTTCCGCATGCGCCTCGCGTGAAGAGCAACCAATTCTCTTCGAATCCTTGCAGCATGTACCAGGTAATACTGGGGAACAGAAAAGTTGCGTTGAGGGCACCTGGTTCGGAGAACACCTGATGCCTCGGAAGCTGGCCCACAGGGGCGCTGCAGTAAGGCTACCTGGACTCACACCTTCCCTCAGATCAGCCACGTTGTGTTTCGGCGGAGCTATGGACTGCGGGGTGCAGAGAAGTGAGCAATCACCTTTGGAAGGTACTCGCTCCGTGACGTACAGGACGTCGTTGAGTTTGCGCAGCTGCACGGCGTCCGGGTCATCCCCGAGTTTGACATGCAGGGGCCTCAGGGGCCTCGGGCCTCAAAGGAAGCATAGGCCGAGGTGAAGACTCTCCAATTTCACGCGTAGCCACCACGCATAGGGTGCCACGGTCGAGAGTGGGATGCGAGGGCCATGGGGTGCGCACTGAACCAGTATCGGCGGGCATGTTTACTCTAGTCTGATTTTAGAGGAAGGCGCAATCATGCCGTGCACACTGCGACCGCATGCCTGCGCAGCTTGATGCCATGAGATCTGCGGCCACACGTGTTGTTGCCAGGCCTGGGCACGTGAGCTCCTGGAGCAAGTCGCACCCAGAGCTCTTCGACCAAGCCTGCTTGGAGAGGCCCCATTGCGTGAAATGGTGCTTTTGGAAGCTGCTTGCTTGTTGTCAAAGGTCGCGGCGGCTAGCTTTCAAGCCAACGAAGGACGGGGTTCTTAAGCACTCTTTCTTCCTAGTCTTGCTGCTCTTATCCGTGCTATCCTGCAGACATGTCTCAATCAGGTCCCACTGTACACTTTCGCCTAGACTTGTCTTGCAGGAAGTTTTCGACTTCCTGCAGGGCCTGCTTTCAGAATGGACGACTAGCACTTTCCACGATCAATTCCTGCACTTAGGCGGGTCATGTAGCATTTATTTGCCAGCCAACAATTCTAAAATTCTTCGAGACTTCCAGACCACGCCCTCTTCGCAAGGAAGCGACGAGGTGCCCTTCGAATGTTGGAAGGGGCTGTCCATCTCCGAGGGTGGCAGCTTGGCCAAGCGGATCAAGACTTCTTTGCTTAAAGCTGTTCGCTGCTTCTGATACGGCCTTTGAATTTCAGGCAAGACCTACAGCACCCCGAAGCAGTTGTTCCAGCATTTTGTCGGGAGCATGTTTTCCCGAGCTCATGGGGAGCTGAATCGCTCCGTCATCTTTTGGGACGAGGCCTGGAAATGGGAAAGACTGAGTTGTGCGCGTGTTCAGGAGCCATTCCGTTTGAGTAGCCTTCTGAAGCCACGCCCTGTTTGGCAGAATTCCCACATCCTACGACACTAGCTCATATTGTGCTCCTCGCCCACAGATTGACAATGTTGGAGAGCCCCGTGCAAGAGGCATTTGTCTCAGCTCGGCTTCCAGCAGAGGCAGTGGTTCAGGCGGGCTCCGGCCTTGTTGCACTGTGACAGGTTACATCGTTAGTCTTTAAGACATAATTCATGTCTGGTTTTGCAGTGGTGTGCTCAGCGAACAAATCGCGTCACAGCACGAAGTGTCGATGGAAGCTCGGATCCCTCCTGGTTGCCCACGGCACCTCATACAGCTTTGGCAAAGCCTCCAAGACGCTTGAAGTTTGCTGTCTTTGGGTTGGTTCATTGGGCGAGTGCCTGGCCAGGTGCTGGTTACGGTTGATGATATAAATCCTACCTTAAGGACCCTAAACTATGGGAACTATAGTATAGTCCTTATTATGGGTAATGCAGGATTTATATCATCAATCGTAGTTCAGACATTTTTTGTCGGCGAGAAAGATTGACTCAATCACAGGCGTTGGGTCTGAGATACTTAGAGCTTGTTCTGGTGAGATCGATCTGTTCACTAAGTGAAACACTCACGCATACCTATGTGTGTATATGTATATATATATATATATATGTATATATATAATATGCACGTACATAAGCCGGTTTGCACTTCTCTCCAAACGAGTGACAACCTCGCCTGAGCCTCTCGGGCGCGAGTGCTCAACAAAAGTATGCATACACGCACATATATCCATGCATAGACACATATTAACACATACACGCACATAGGCGCGCATATCTTCGTCCTTGTACATGTGCTGAACAGATGATGTGCCTGACATCAGGTCTGGCGTGACAAGGCGACTCTGTCCCGTGCAGTGCAAGCCGGGCATCGAGCCCTTCTCTCCTGGGGCTGGCATCGCGCTCGAATTGTGTAGGTGAGGCAATTGGTTAGAGCGTAAAGGCGCGATCTCTGAGAAACTTCAATCAGGTTTACCGCTTGGGCTATTTCGGGAGAACCGCAAAGGTTTGGGGCTAGGTCCGTTGGCCGCCTGTTGGCAGTTTCGCAATGGACGTCCCACCGGTTTGCCGATCGTGAGTCACCGACGTGGAGAATTGCAGACTTGTGCGTTTCTGCCTCCGGCTCGGCTGTCTGCTTCCGAGGTATTTAGACCACCTTGACGAAGACTGGCAAGGAGATGAGCCTTCTTACAAGTAGCATGGTCAACCAGCTTGGTTGTGGTTTGCCAGTTGTCGTTGCTGATGGTTGCTTTTCAGCGTGATGTGCTATCTCTATGCAGCCCTAAACCCCCATCCTTGTTTGCCTTGAGTCGGAAAAAACACGTCTGGATGGCCTCGGGCTGTAAAGAGGTTCTGGAGAGTGCCGCTGTAGCTTCTCGAGGCTTAGCTTGCATCGAGATGCACCACGCTCCAGAGAGCTGACTGACCGTACGTAACGGTACCGTTGTCACCGTGACTATTCTGGCGGTGACATGTTTATGATCAGTACTGTATCATGCCACACATGCTAACAGATAGATTGAAAAAACGTTGTCGTGTAACGTTGAACCACAGCCTCCGAAAAAGCATTGTGGTGGTAATGACGGCAGCCAAAACAGTAGTACCGATAAGAAACTAATTCTATGCTCATGTCACTGGGAAGGCGGCTCCCGGTTCGCAGGAATGTACGACAATGACCCTGTGGCCGAAGTTCCTGAAGACAAGAAGGAGAAGGTCCTGGGAGGCCGTGGATCAGATGGTCCAATCGACATATCCGAAGCAGACCGCGCACGTTGCTGAGGCCAGGCCGGTTTCAGTCTTATTTGCACTTGGTGCCAAGGCGAGGGCTGCATGTGGGGAGAGACCGTGGATGGCCTGGGTCTGAGATTGCATGCTTACAGCATGCGGGTTCGCGTTCACATGTGAAGCGTCATCGTGCGTCGCGAGCGGTGCGCCAAGGCTCAGACCAGGCTCCCACGATGTGGCCTCGGCTTGCTGCCATTGCTGAGCGGCTCTGGAGCTGTCAAGGGGATCTCGACTCCGGCGCTCTGCTCCTTTGCAGAATGTCCACTTGTTACAGGAGCGCGCCGGCCTCGTCTTCTGCGGCCGCGGAGTCACGCCTCAATGCCTTCAGGCAGAGGGCCCTTGACAGACCTGGCCCTCTACAGCAGCCTTATTCAGAGTCACTTACAGTTCAGTGGCCAGGTGCCTGCTCCTTCGTCGGGGCGTGGCAGCCGCCCCCACTCAGGTCAGCGGCAGAAGAGCACCTCTTGGGCCAGGGTCGCTTGGAGCTGCAGGGAGATAGACAGATTTGTTCGATTTGCTGCTTATGCAGGGGCTTCAGGATGCCCTAGCACATCGTCGGGCTCGGGGGAGAATGATAGGCTGCTATGCAGAAGGTGAGCAGTTGGAGTGGAGACGGCGGCCAGTGACGGGTTTTCTGTAGAGATTGCGTCGCTGTGGGATCGCAAGATGTCGAGGTCCTGTGAGCAGCCTGGTGGGCCTGGCAGCTCTGGCCTGTTGCTCCGGGGGGGGGGGGGGGATCGCTCCAGCGCTTCAAAGGCTCGGAAGTTTCGGAAGAGCGTCGCAGGTTTGGCTGCCTGACGACAGGCCGGTGGCTCAGCCCTTGAGTCAGAGCCGGACGAGGTTTAAGGTTTCGGTTTCGTCTCCAGTGTCTCCATTTCAGTGCGCCGCTAGGGCTAGCAACCTTCCCCGCCCCATTGCATCAGCTTTCGCGTTGGACTGTCCTTAAGCTCGAAGCTACACGCAAGCAAACAGGTGGCGGTCTGGCGTGTCGACTCTACTCTCTCACACGAGACTCGGAGGGCGCCCGGATCAAAACGCACCGACACATGAGTGCTGAGAGGTCTTGGCAAGTTGCAATAGCAGTAGCCTTTGCCGCCACCTTTATGGTGCTGGTGGTGGTGGTCGTGTAATGGTAGTGGTACTGGTAGTGGCGGTGGTAGTGGTGGCGGTGGTGGTGGTGGTGGTGGTGGTGGTGGCAGCAGCGGCAGTGCCAGCAGCACCTCGGTGGTGAGTTAAGTAGTGGTAGTGGTAGCAGACAGTGGTAGTGCTAGTATTTATGAGTCGTCGCCGTAGTAATGGTAGTAATGGTAGTAGTAGTGGTGGGCAGTGGGTAGTTGGGCGTGGGTACTAGGCATAGGTGGTTGAGTTTAGATCATAAGTATTATAGGTAGTATAGGTAGTGTTGGTAGTAGGTTTTCCGTACTACTAGTAGTTCGTCGTTCGTCGTTAGTGGTTAGTGAGTGGTGGAGAGTGGTTAGTGGTTCGTAGTCGTGGTTAGTTGTGTGTAGTAGGTGGTAGGGAGTACGTAGAAACTAACGTAAGTAGTTCGTGGTTGGTATTTGCATGGTAGCGAGTAGCCAGCATAGTGAGTAGTTAGCATGTAGTATAAAGTCGTAGTATTTAGTAGGTCACAGTAGTGGTTAGTGGGTAGTAGTTCGGTAGTTTGTGATAGTGTAGGCAGTTCGTCAATGACAGAGAGTTATTATCGTTGCTGTCGTGATTCGACGTCGTCGTAGTAGTAGTCGTCGTCGTCGTATCTCGCAGTAAAGGTAGTAGTTTGTTGGTGGTGGTGGTGGTAGTAGCAGGCAGTAGTAGCAGCAGCAGCAGCAGCAGCAGCTGTAGTAGGAATAGTGGTAGTGGCAACAGCAGTAGCAGCAGTAGCAGCAGGAGGCGCTGTGGTCATAGTAGTAGTCGTAGTCGTCGTCGTAGTAGTAGTAGTAGTAGTAGTAGCAGTAATTAGTCATGTTAGCTGTCGATTCCCAGCTGATGATGGAGCAGAGCCTGGGTTCAAAAAGTAGTAGTAGTAGTAGTAGTAGTAGTAGTAGTAGTAGTAGTAGTAGTAGTCGTCGTCGCACTGTAACAGTTGGCGTATCAAGTCAGCCTCGCTGTCTTCAAGCGACTTCTTTCTCTGTTGAATAAGGCTGTTTTGTGTCATTGCTGGTTTCAGCTGTGTAGTTTCATGTCATGCAGTGCATTCTAGTTTGATTTTTCTTATTCTTTTCAATTGTCGTCTAGTGGAATCTGCCAGACGCCTTGCTTACTGTTTACCTTTATCGTTTGACACCAGCAACTTATCACGGCAAGGCGAACAACAGGCTGCCGCCATGTAGCAAGTCGCCACGAGTTGGAAGCATCTGCGCATCGGCGGCATGTCTCAACATGCGAGGGGTGGCGACCCCCGCACCTGAGCTGCAGAGACGTTGTCAAGTTGATCAGCTAAGCTGGCAGCATCCGAGCCACCGACATCCGATGCCACGCATGCCTCAGCTACAGCAAGCCAGACTTGCAAAGATACCCAGTTTTTGCCCGCAGGACATGTACACGAAATGCGGTGGCATGTCCAGGCGCTTGCGTGCCTTTGTCTTTGGTTTCTCGACCCGCTGAGCTGCGCTGGAGCTTGCGCTGCTTGCCTTGCCAAAATGCCAGTAAAGCTGCAGCGACCCCTGAAGTCCAAGCACGTCAGGCAAGACATGTTCATGAAGAGGTGTGATTAGGCCTGCTAGGACCAGGAGGGCTGCAGAACTCCTGGACTCGAAACATGAGTGCTAGCCCTGATTTACCTGGCCTTGTGCTTGCCTGTTTTTGACCAGCCAGTTGCAGCTACTGCCCAGCCAAGGGCCAACACGCGGAAATCTGGCGTTGCATCGCCAAACGCCCAGTGTCTTCGAGGGCAAATTATGCTGCACGAGTCTTTCTGTCAGCTGTCGTCAGTGGACAGCAGGAAGCATGTAGTTGTGCCTTTCCAGCAGTGTTCTTACTATCGCGGCCGTGCAGTTCTCATGCAATGGAATGGCATGCCAAGTGCATTGACTTTTGTAGCTAAAAGTCCGAGTTAAAGTTGAAGTTCAGCGGCAAGTATACGCTGTCACGGAGTCCTGTTTGACCGTCGGGGCCTGCCGCCGATTACGTGGGGGTTGTCTTGCCACAAGTCTCAGGTAAGATGCACAAGGTGCGACAAAAACCAGCTGGGGCCGACAATCAAGCCAGGCACCGGCTAGCTGAGGGATTGACTTCGAAGAGCATTGCATTTGGAGCTGTGCAACTGCTCCTTCCATGGACAGCGCCGCGAGGAAAGCAGGTCGTGGCCAGCCGCAAAGGTGCCTTGCAACAACTCTCAGTTGGACTCTGGTGTCGCTTCTGTAGTGGATATTGGTTTGTGCAAACATCAGGAAGGCTCAGTGCAAGTACTGATAGCGAAAATAAACTATCCTCACAGAATTCTGGGTATGCCAAACTCGGGTCGATTCGTCGTGGTTCGTCTTGCCATGTACTGGTAGCAGGTGAGGCAATACTCCTTCGTCCAGAGTCTAGAGCATGGCTCTGTGGGCAGCTTCTCTCACTACGGGCGGTGTGTCAACTTTGCCGTGGCTGCAGCTTATCATGCTATCCGAAATATGATGAGGCTCCCATTCCGAGTCATTGCGGTGTGAAAGCCGAGGGGGATGGCTGTGCCTGCTGAACTACTGGGGTATGAACGTGACCGTGAAGGACCTACGCAGTGTCGATTCTTCCATCACTTGCTAGCGAAGCTTCACGGATGGTCAAGGACCCCTCTGGACAAGATCTCTTCGAAGTGGTGCCAGGCGACGGGCTTTGAAGTGAAACGGTCAAGAGCTTGCGCTGTGCAATCGATGAAGACGTGCACGCGTTGCCTCATAGGATTTGTGAACAAGAAGTTGTCCCTGTATAGCCCCTGCGCAAGGGTGCAGGCTGAACTCAGGGACGCTGAACTTAGTTGATGGTCACTTGCTTTGCTTTACCACGAACGAAAGAAACCTCAACCATGCCTTTGACAGTTCCAGTGAAGCTCAGAAGGCACTCGAGTTGCCTGGGCGCCAGTTCGACGCTTCCTGGGCGGTGCCAACCACTCTGCGTTGGCGCGGCGGGCGCTGACCCTGGCGGCTCTGCATAATCATTCGCGTAGTCCGGAGTATCTGCCATGTATGGTCTATACGAGTCGTTGCCTTTGCCGGTCTTTCTGGTCACCTATGGCCTATGGCGGCTAATTTAGCAGTGTAGCAGCAAGACCCATGGATCTGCATGTTTTCACGTAGTCGTTCCAGCCTGTCCCGTCGCTCGCCGGTTTTGATCGGGTATAGCACAGTTTTGGATAGACATCGGGCAGAGCGGGCAGAGTGCGGCAGTTGTTGCCGTCTTTCCTCGTTCTCAACTTCTCTCTCTCTCTCTCTCTCTCCTTTGCGCGCTCAATCTCTGTCTCTCTGCCCACGTCAACGGAGTTCAATGTTTCGGATGCACGCAATTTCATCAAAAGAGTGCTTATCGTTCGGACAGACAGGACTTAGGGCTCAGGGGTCGATCGCTGGCGCCTTGTGCACTCCAGGAGGCGGTCTACAAAACGGAGCCTCTTGCCGATGGAAGGTGCTTTAGGCGGAAGTGGGTTGTTCGCACGCCTGCCTGCTGAGATCTGCGACAGTGGCTCTCTGGGTCTAGGATGCTGCTACGAGTACCCGGACACTTGTCTGTTCAGCAAACGTGCATAACAGGTGCATAATTGCGAAGTCAAGTAAACCTGCTGCGGTATTCTGGTGTAGTAACTGTGAATTTGCCAAGGCTGGCAGCGTGGGCCGCAGGCGATTTAGTGGCCGGACGGCCCAAGATAAGCCGTGCATCTTGGCTTGACCGGTAACACACATGCATCGGCTTCAAGGCTACAGTCCAAGTGCGGGCGTAATCAATCGGTACTTTAGCAGAGCATCACTTGCAGTCGAAGTTTTGAAGCCCGCTCGGATGGGTTGGAGTGCCGTGCCGTGGACTGGCAGCAAGGGTCCCTACAGTGGAGTACAATGCCATGCCCTGGGCGACCGAAAGCATGGCATTGTGCGAGCTGAGGCTGCGCAGGAGCCTGGGCATGCACTTGAGAAGATGATGGGGCCCTGTGGATCTGGATGAACTTTGTGGGACATGTGAACTGACATAGGACCGGGGCAAAGCCAGCTTCCTGATAGACAGGTCGCGTGTCAAAGATTTCGAGTTATTCTGTGTCAACCTTCATCATTTGCACTGCATGTGCCAGCAACTCTGGTGTCGCGGAGGGTGTGGGGGCCGTGGAATCATGGAACAGGCCGACAAATTCGAGCGGCGCGCTGCTGCTGGAGGAAGCCTTTTTGAGATGCATTGTCGTACTCGATGCTAGTAGACATGGGTGAGTCACGGAGTTCCTGAATTTGACCGACGTTGCTAGATGTAAGACAGAGGCCAAGAATGAATCTTGTGCCTACACGTCCTCGTTGCCTTGGCAGGATTGGAGAAGGAGTGGCCCCGTGTCGTGCGAGCCAGAAGGACCAAGCACCGCGTCAACACCTTGATCGCCAAGGCCGAAGCGTCGAATTTGATGTCTTGTTCTCCTTCTTGCTGCTCCTCCGGCTGCTGCTGCTGCTGCTGGTGCTGTTGTTGTTGGCGTTTTCGCACCGGTTGAATGATGACTAGGATGCGACGCCGAATCAAACATGTAGAAGCTTGGCGGCCGCCAGGCGATGCCAGATGATGCATATGGAACAGAGTCTTGTCTGCAGCTGGGTTGAACGGAAGTTCGTCAGTGATCACTGATTCAGTTGTGCGCGTGTGGCAGCACCATATTTCACTCGTCCTGAATTTCCCCTCGCACTTCGTCATTCATTCGCGCCTGACGCGGGATACTGCACCCTTGCACCACGTAAGGGTCATGTCGTTTTGCGTTTGTTCTGCCAATCATGGTGTCTGATCGCATCGTTGTCGTGTTCACTCATTGTCATCACCATGATCTCGTGAATCTCGTGATTGCGAGTAGCAAGCAGCACCAATCAAGTGATGCTACTCAGCTTTCAAGCATGACGCCAAGGCTTTTCGTGACGGTGTTGCGTTGGTCCTCGCTGGGGGTTGGTACCCTGATCTGATCTTCAAAACCTTCGCTTGATACACGGTCAGCTCCCATTACGTCCCATCATATCCCATCACTAGTTTTTCCTTCAGTGTTGAGCGGTGCCACATCTCGATCAGATACAGGATGGCAACAGCGCTTCATATACATTCTTGCCATAAGGGCATGCACGGCAAAACTATTCAGTTCGTCTAGTGCAAGCACGGGCGGCACGTGGGCCCGTCATTATCTTCCTCGTGCTTTTGCTTGCTACATGGCTGTATTCACGATGCCAGAAATTCCATTGCGCCGTCCTGTGAGTGTTTACTTGGGTTTTGGCTACCGTGCATGATGTCCTAGAACACTTGCCTTGCTTACAAGCTGACATTGGCATAAAGCCCCAAGAAGTGCGTGCACACACACGCACACACAACACCAGGGAAACGCAAAAAGTTCAATCAAGACCTTCCGACGAGGATGGGCGACTAGCTCTAGTTTTGGATGGAGCGGATGCCCAGACGTCTCAGGCAGGCATTGCGACGTGAATCAGCATGTAAGTTCGGAGTTTCAAGCAACTGAAAAGTTCGAATCTATGTGTTTGAGGATGAAGACACATTCACCTCTTATTCATGGCTCCTGGCAGTGGCGCTTTCATTCTTCATCTGCAAGACAAGAAATGGTCATGCCTTTCAGATTGGGGTTTGCATCGCGGAGAAGACTTCAGCCATTTCTCCCAGCCCATCAAAGCCATGTTGCCGACAGAGTGCGGGTGCGAGGCACTATTGGGGCGTGGGCTGCCTGCGGAACGGCTACCTGATTGAATAGCCATTGGCAAAGTGCAGACACAGATTGTGATTTACCACGGGTGTGCTTGCTTCCGATAATGTCACAGTTGTAGCTGTGCAGCATGCCCTGTGGTGGATATGCCGAAAGACTGCACCGCGCGCATCCGCCATCGATGCAGCTCATAGCCGGCAATGGCTTGTTCGTCAAAATTGCTGCGCTCTTACTTCAGGATCTTGTCTCCGAACGTGGTGCCAGCGGTTGTGGAAGCTCTGCCCCCCGTTGCACATACTCCGGCATGGATGCAATCAAGCTGATAGGGACACCAGGGACCAGGGACACTGTGGTATCGGGCCGGAGTTTTCAAGAGCCTCGTTTTGTACGTCCTGGTTCCTCGAGGTCAGATCGTGGGATCTCTAGTTGGTGCGGTCGAGTACAGGACGCCCGTTGATCGAATCTCTGCAGCCCGGGATCCAGCCTGGTCTTTCTTCGGGGCTTCCCTGCGGAGGACTTCCTGCGCTCGAGTGAAGTTTCCGGAGCCTTGGACCTGCTCTTCTTGGACTACACAGGCCCGAGCGCTGAACCGCTGGCTGCCATCGCCCCCCCAGACTCTCTCGACTGCTTCGCCGAGGCTGCCTGGCCTCCCGAGCCTCGCATTTCAGGTGCCCGCAACGGAATCTAGAAGAGCAGTTCTTCGAAGGCTTCTGTTGATCGGGACCTTCTGCAGGCCTGCGCTGCGTGCCTTGCGTCCGCAGGGCGTTCTGGCCTGTACGATTCTTTTCCGCCACTAAGGGGAAGGGGCCAGCTCATGAAACTCGCAAAGCTTCGTGCTTGTAGTCAGCATCTTCTTGTTTGAAAGCCGTGCCATGCTTCCTGCACCAACCGTCGATTCGTGGCAGCCCAGGTTTTCCATGAGGCATTCCCCTGTCGAGGACTGACCTGACAGGGGATCCTAGCGGAACTGATATCAAGGCATAAGTCATCATGAGTTCATTAGATCCATCCTCACCGCAGCTCTCTCTGCGGAAGATCTTGAAGGTTTGCGAAGATCAGCCTTGAATCGAGCCACTGCAGCCCACCGGGTAGAGCGCAGGAGACTCATCCCATGCAACAACCTTCTCGCACCGTTGTTGCGCCGATGCTCGCGGTGTTTGCTTTTGTAAGGACGACTTCAGCTACGGCTTTCTACCGCCACAGCCTGAAGGCGGGAGACTCGACTGTGTCTCGACCCGCAGCATCACGTCGACAGGACCTTGCAGTACCATGAGCATCAATTCCGTGTCGCTCATGCGTCGCGAGATGCGATGCTGTCGCAGCCCCCAGGCTGGAGCCACGCCCACGCGCTGCACGCACTCGGCCGCTGCTTGCTGGAGGCGGCTGAAGCGCTCGGCCGCCGCTTGGAAGGCGCCGGCCTCCCGGGCCTGCCTTTCGGCGAAGGATGGCGAAGGCTGAAAACACAGTTAATGTTGACCTACTTTTTATAAATCCCCCCTCAATTATAAAACCCCACCCCCGGAACTCAATTATAAACCCCCCCTCAATTACAAAACCTGCCGGCCCAAATCCCCGAAATTAGATACTTCTTGTTCTGTGTTGTTGTGTGTTGGTTGAGAGAGAGAGAGAGAGAGAGAGAGAGAGAGAGAGAAAGGGAGAGAAACTGCAGCTACTACGAGAGCTTGAGGTCTGCAGAGAGAGAGAGAGAGAGAGAGAGAGAGAGAGAGAGACTGCAGCTACTACGAGAGCTGGGGGTCTGCAGAGAGAGAGAAACTGCAGCTACTGCGAGAGCTTGAGGTCTGCAGAGAGAGAGAAACTGCAGCTACTGCGAGAGCTTGAGGTGTGCAGAGAGAGAGAAACTGCAGCTACTAAGACTGCTTGAGGTCTGCAGAAAGAGAGAAACTGCAACTACTACGACTGCTTCAGGTCTGCAGAGAGAGAGAAACTGCAGCTACTCAGATTTAGAGGGCCTCAGAAACCATGCCTTCCTTAATAAAATTCCTTATTCCCGGAGCCAAAAATCAATCCATCCTGATGGAGTACTAACAAACGCCGTTCTTCGCAATTATAAACCCCCCTCAATTATAAACTCCCGCCGGGGAGGGCCTTTTGCTTCAGAAGCCAAGCCCTTCATTGGGAAAGCTTTAGCTTCCAAAGCCACCGGACTCCGAAACCGCAGATTTAGAGGGCCTCAGAAACCATGCCTTCCTTAATAAAGTTCCTTATTCCCGGAGCCAAAAATCAATCCATCCTGATGGAGTACTAACAAAGGCCGTTCTTCGCAATTATAAACACCCCCTCAATTATAAACTCCCGCCGGGGAGGGCCTTTTGGTGGTGCCTTTAAAGGCCTTGAAAAGGACAGCAAGCTTTACAGGCCAAGCCCTTCATTGGGAAAGCTCTGGATTCAAAAGAAAAGCAAGCTGTGGGAGCAGAGTCGTTGATTGGAATAACCTACCTATAGCAGCCATGCCCTTGCTTGCGAAAGCTTCGGCTTTCAAAGGAGGAGGGAGAGGACCGCAGGATCATTGTTCATTGCTGGTACTTTACCAAACGTGCCTTGTCCGCCGGAAGAGCTGGACTCAGAGGCTGTGCTACTACTGTACTGCTACTGTACTATACTACTGTACTACTGTACTATTGTGATACTATACTACTGTACTACGACGACCGACCCCCCCCTCAATAATCAATCCCCCCCACCCCGGGCGCCAAATCAATCAAGGGGGGGGGGGTTATTAATAGGAGGTTGACATTAGCAACTGCTGCCATCGACAAGCCCTTCTCTCCCAGGAACGATTATGAACTCTTCGACAACATGTCAGCTGCAGCTTGGGCCACGCGGAGTGCCATGGATGCTTGGCAAGCGCATGCGGTTTTTCAGTGACTGAGCTCCATGCCTTGCATCGCTCGCTTCCTGTCTGAATTCCCAGAGCTTGTGTCAGCTTTTGTCGCTTCGCTGGATCTCAGTCTCAGGATGCAGGTGAGACCACCTGTGAGCGGGTCATCAGAGCCCTGGAGGAGGAGAACATCCCCGCGCTTGCAGAGGCCTTGGCATCAGGAGTGGCTGAGTGGCCCCGTTGTGACGTGGCAGCCAGGCCCTTGCCAGCTGGGCGGAAGAACCCAAGTCGGAGCTGCCCTGGCTTCGGAAAGGTGTGGCTGCATGGCCGCAGTTTAGGCCAAAGACCAAACCTGCCTGCTTGGCAGCCTAGCCGCGGAGCCGGGTGAAAATTGACATCGACATTGATTGGGTCATTGGGGGAATATGTGGCAGTGTGGCATGATTCGCGATGGGCGGCTTGGGGCTTTGGCAGCCCTGGGGCCTTTCCAGGCTACAGCTACGGCTTGCCTTGGTCGGAAGTCAGACCAGATGTATGCAAAGGGTATGCACAGACCTGTGCTACAGTATGAAGTATGGGGGGCCACGTTCCGTCAACTTCTGCAGGTTCCCCAATTTCGTGCGCCTGTAGTCATGCAACCCTCGTGCTAGGCTACCGTGGCCGAGAGGGTGCGGCGCGCCTGTCGGGGAGGATGCGCGGGAGTGTGGGGGAATGGTGTGGATGACTTCTCGGGTAGCCAAGCGCTCCCGTGCTGTTGGCAGGAGTGTTGGGATGTGCCTGGCGCACCGGCGACGAAGGCTGGATCTGGGGCCGTTCGGGTCGGGTGACGGCTCTGCCCTCAAAGCAAGAGCCGTTTGTAGCATATCTGGGTTGTGAGTTTTCAATCACCAGGAACAATAGGAACAGCTTTGGTTTGAGTTTGTGGGGGTGAGATCCTTGAACGAGTGGCCGCCTGCTCAAGGCCGTGGCAGCCCGCATTGCCTTCTGGGTGCCAATGGAGCCGTCCAGGCGCGGTTTTCCTGAATTGATGCTTGGGTTCGTGCCCAGAGGTTTCTAAACATCAAGAACCCTAAACTATGGTCGCATGTGCTCTGAATCTGGCACAGCCGGCACTTGCCTAGGACAAAGACTTGAACAAGCTGCGCAAAGCAGCCGTGGCTTTGAAGCAGGTGCTCATGCGGTGTGGCATGTGGGTCTTTCTTGATTTCCTGAGCTGGAGTTTTAGGCTTTTTCCATCTAGCACAATCACCTCCTGCATCCATGAATGCTTCTGATCGCAGCTGCCGTCACGCTTGGGGCCTCTGGTCCATCTGCGCCCCTGAAGCAAGTGATGCGAACCCCTCTGCTGGAATACTGCAGATGGAAACGGCTAGTTTGCGTCTAGTTTGCGCGCGTGTCCTGTTGCATGCGCTGTGCACACACAGCAGCTGTCCATGATCAGAGAAAGCGGATCCAAGCTCACCAGTAACCCAGCTAGCAACAGTCGCCTATAGCGAGTGTAATGTCTCTCAGGCCATCGGCGCAGCAAACCGTAAGAAGCCGCACAATGCAATGCAGTTTGCCATCTTAGCACGCGAGCCGATCTCAGACTGTGTGCTCCAACCATGTAACGAATACAGTGGCTAGAAAGGCAGGGTCCTCACGCGGCTCTGTCTGCGCACCGACTGCCCCGACCCGGTGTCCGGCGTTTTCATTTCGGCGCAGCATGCTGGTCTACCCAGCCGCTAGGCAACCAGATGTTGGACCATCCATCCTCTGCTCGATGCGAGCGGTGATTTTTTAGCCAGACGTCAAGGAATGCTGGAGTGCACTGAAAGACGCGTGAACCTGCAGCCAAGGAGGAGATGATGTTCTTCATGGTGCGGTGCGGCGAAAAAAGCAGCACAGTGCGATAGCTAGCAGGGCACGCAGGCTAGCTGCTAGCCTGCGTGCCCTAGTTACCGGGAGCCGGAAACGCAAGCTGTTGATCTGCATATACATGCCTTCTCTCCTTCCTCATTCTTCAGAGTAGTCATGAGTTTTAGGTCAATGTGGGCATCATTGCAGGGAGCGGAATAGAGCCGTCAGCCAGATCCGCCAACCGATGAAAGCATGAAGGTTGAAGATCCACCGCAGACACCTGCACATCTACAGAACACCCTCGGCCCCTGTCCGCATCCGGGCAGCGTTCGAGGTCATCGTAGAACATCCAACTACACCATACATCACATTGTAGCAGCACTTATTACGAGCAGCTAGGGCCCCAAGCCGTGCAGCTTCACAAGCGGCGCCCTCTGCCGCATTCATGGGGTCGTGGCCGCAGATCAGGGAGCCGACTTCTGAAGCCCGGTCCTGTTTTCCCAGCCTCCCGCCTCCCCTCCTGCCGAGCTGAGTCTCTGCAAGCTTTGGGGAAAGTGCCTGCGCAACCAGGCCTGGAGAGCATCTACGGGGTTCGGGTGTGTCTCCGGCTCTTCTTCGGACGCTTGCAGGTTTCAAAGTAAATTATTCCTGCTCACTCGAAAAGCAAATTCAGGGGAAGCCTCAGACTGTCCAAGATCTTACCTTGCCCGCCGCGGGAAGCCCCGCGCTCGATCAGCTAGGCAGATTGCACAAAAGTGGCTTTGAGATGCTCTGAGTTCATATCGTGTATCCAGACTTGAACTTTTCGTCTACCAAAGCCGTACTTAGCCCAGCTTGCGACATGCAATCCGTACGCGGCCCTTTTCAGCGGCTCTGCCTCCCCTCCCCTGACCCCTCCCTTCCCCTGGGTCACCCCCTCCCCGGTCCCTCCGTCCCGACCGTCCTTGTCCGGACCTCCCTGCACTGTCCGAACGGGCGGCCCGGCAGAAATTCTGGTGTCCAGGCAGCTTTCGTGGGCTTTACTAAGCCTTTAGGGAGACGAACTGGAATCCGAATCAGTGACGGGAGCCGATTCAAGCAGAGCTTTGGATGGGTCAGGTGTCAGCTTGTCTCTTTGGGTGTGATGGGGTGACGCTTGCGATGCTGCGATGTGACGACGGTTGAAGCTGGGTTTTTTCTCCTGCTCACAGTGCGACGGCGTTCTATGTCAGTGTTGCAGAATACCGGCACATACTTCTCAGAGCTGCGCCGTCCGAGGATTTGTGCATGGCGAAAGCATCCGTGCTCTGGCTCTTTGGCTATCGGAAATGTGACGCTGGGTACGGCAAGCTTAAGCAAATGGCATTGTTTTTGTTGATTTTGGACATTGTGCCATACACACTACACACAGACTCTGTACCAGATCTTCCTGGCCAGCACGAGTTGTGGCGTGGTTCAAGCTGTCCCATCGCAGGAGCATCGGCCAAGGGCTTTGAATGTCAGCAAGCCCAACAACTTTCAGCTCAGTACCCAAGCCTTTGCTACGCCTCCGAACCAGATGCCGAGCCGCAGAAACACAGCACAGCCTCAGCCCAGGAAAGCTGTCAAGAGTACAGCAATTCTGGCTGGTTTGACGCGGACGACGTCTGGTATTGAGGCTTTGCTGCAAATGACCGCGTGGCAGGGAACTCTTGGGCCCTGTCGGGAGAAGGGCTGGAGCCTCGAGCTTCTTGAGTGCATCGAGGTTATCCGGCATGAGATTGCTTGCATAGGTCGTGAATTGTACGATGAAGGCTCCGGTTTGGACAGACTGAGTCAAGTTTCCGTCTGACGGGGCCCTCCTCCCAAAAGGAGCTTAAGCACAACTTGTCTAGCAAACACAGAGTTTTCTCCCGCAAGCTAGTGCACCCTGCCAAGCTTCGGGCATGGTGAAGAGTCCGACGGGCTCGGCAAATGGGTGAGGTTCAAGTTTCGATATGCAAGTAGGACAGGAATGGATACAGCATCCCAGCAAGGCTGTAGGTAAAGTAGGACTCAGTCTCACGCAGGAGCTAGGGAAGAACGAATGCAATGAATCGGCTGGATCTCCCAGGCGAAGAGTGTCAGATGAACTGCGTTCTGGATCTTTTCTCCGATGAGCCAGTGCCGGCGATGGCCTCATATCTTAGTCTTCGTGAGCACACGCGGGAAGTCTCAACTCCCTATTCTGTTCGCATGGCGTTCCCATGGAGAGCCTCAAACCTGAAGTCCGGACACTTTTGCTCTGCGTCTTACCGCGGTGTCAACCGTCGATGTTTGGATCCTGGGAAGTGCTGCTCCATCGTCTTGTAATGATTCCCCGATCATGCAGGTTCTAGTCTCGATCCTGTCCCAACAAAAGCTGCAGGCGGAGTCTTGGCTTCGATGTGGCATCCGCCGGGCGCTGCCGACGAATGATCCGGCTTGTCTTCTTGTCTTTGCGGGATAATATTGGGAGGAGAAGTGTTGTTTGTCAGGAAAGTTCACAGAGACTTGTTGCTGTTTCGCCAAGATGGCCTGCTTCACACATGTCATTCTACCCGAGCAGCTGCAGTCGGTTAAAACTACCCAGCGTGGGATCCTTCAGTCCTGATTGCTCGCCCAGGCCATTCCAAGTTTGAGTTCCAAGTCTAAGGTAAGTGGTACGTGCAAGTTTAACCCAAGAGGTGCGCGAGCTACCAGCGCTGGCATCGTCACAGCTCTTGGTGTGTACCTGCGCCCTCGGCTCAAGATTCCGGGGTGTTATCCTGCCCCACTCCGGTTTGGCTCAGTTGCAACCGCAGCAATCGAACACCGGGCCGCAAGGGGTCTGTCACGAGATTAGCTGCCCTCTCCTTCGCTTGAATCTTGTGGCCTGTTCACACACCCCTCGCGGACCGTTGCTCCGCTCTTGTGCTTCACTTGACATTTTGCGCTTCGTGCCGACCGAATGCAAGTGTTCTTCTGCACTTGTTGTGGGCTCAAGGTGAGCTGGTGAAGGTCGGTGGCCACGCGACTCGAACAGCAAACGATTCATTTTGTGTTGGAAGTTGTCTCCATCTCCATGCTTTCAGTCTTGGTTGCAGTTGTGTGCAACGAATCAGATCTTCCCGCGGGTGGTGCCACTTCGTACGGCACTCAAAAGGGCTTCAGAGGCTTCCCCTACCGAGGCAGGCCTTTTTGGTGGCCGGCTGGTGCTGACGGGGACTGGCATGGCCTTGGGCTCGCTGTGGTCCCACCTCCAAGGATGGGGATTTTCCGATTCTTAGCCTCGTGCCTGAGAGTTCGGCTTGGGAGGAGGCTCGGGCCCGAAGAGCTTGGGCACCGAGCCGACGAAGGCCGGGACATCCGATATCCCGCCCCCTCGGGTCAAGAGCCTTGTGCAGGATGCGGCTTCCGCTGCCGCTGCCGAGGCGGCCTTTGCGGACCCTTGGGTGGTGGTCGTGGATAGCAGCCACCCAGACCGCGCAAAGGCTTTTTCTAGTCAAAAAAATACGGTCTCCGGAGTCGTGCAGACGTGCGCAGCCCTTCACTGCTCTTGCTGGGCACTCCGCAAGCCAAGGGCCCGGCTGCTTTATCCCTGGCGATCCTGTGGAAGTTTCTGACAGTTCCGGAAAAGGACCGTCCATGACATGTCCATGGCCTACCCCCTTAAGCCTCGCCTTTCTGGCCCTCCACTTGCGTTTGCTGGAGGATGGCGCGGCGTGGTAAAGTGCAAAGCGGGCGAAGGCCGGTGCCAGAGCGATGCGGCGGGAGGGAAGGCGGAGTTGTTACGGTTGCTGAAGGAAGCTACATCGTGGAGGACCAGAGTCAGACGCCCCACAACGTGGCCGGCTTTTGTTAGAGCCAGTTTCCCTCTAACTTTCCAGCCGGAGCCGAAGCTTTTGCCAGGTGGCTGCAGACAGGCTGAGAGTGGACGAGCTCGTTGCGTCAGTTCTGTGAGAGGGAGGTTTAGGGTCGGAAGCTCTCAAGACATGGTCCCCGGAGCCGACGAGTTCCTTTTTCTAAGGTTTCGGGTTGTTTGTGAAGTCTCCGAGCATCAGGTCAACGAGGAAGGGTTCGTGATCAAAGCGGCCTCAGATGGTGGGAAACCCGACATACTGTAAGTTGGTTTTGTAACGGTGCCTGGGGCTCATCCCAGCATTCTTAAGTTTCATGCCTTTTCGCATCCGGCCACCATGGATGATGCAGAATGCATGGTGGACTCGACGATAATGCTGCCGTTTGTCGCTAGGTGCAGCGTCGGGCTGGTGCCATCGAGCTTTCAAAGAACATGGACACAGGGTGTTGATAAAGGGTATATAGTTTTTGTTTTTGATTAACAATCGCTCCCTCTTTTGATGAGACCCAGTACCCTAGTGTGCCCAAGTGGCCTGTCAGTGGCTTTGGCTGTCAGTCGTCGCGTCGCTGCCCTTCCGGCTGCAAGGTAGTGATTGTACAGAACGTCATCCCAAACTTTTATTCGAAACGCAAGGATGTTGTGCAGATGTCCTAGGAGTGTTTCACAAGCACGGAAAGAGCGGCTATCATGTCGCAGAGTCGTTCTGATCCTGACAGGCCGATGAGATTCTCTTAGAGCTAATCATGCAACATCTCGAGAACGATGGGAATTCTTAGGCCACATCCAACCCGATCACCCGATAGCTCTTTCCATTCCAACCATGCCGAAAGGGCACAGAGGCTTATGCAACACAAGATGTAGTGTCAAGCATCGCATAGTCTCGCCGCAGCAGCACATCATTCCTGACATGATCTTGCTGCCGAAGCCTCATTGACTGCTAGTGAACTGCTGCTTGCCATTAGCAGCACAAGCACGGCGCTTGTTGCGAAGAAGTGACGCTTTGACCCACAGGCCCGACGCGTATTATCACTAAACCGGGCATGTATGGTCAGAAGGGGCCGCCATTGGGCCAGGGAGGAGATGTACAAAGCAGGCGCTTGAAGAGGTTGTCAGCGAGCAGTGCAGTTTAGGTGCAAGGAGAACCAAGTAAATGCCATATCGCACACCGGTTAGTGGTAAGACGTCGCGGGAACCTGTTGAACTTGGCACGTACCCGTTACAGAAGTGCTAGCATTACTGTTCAGTAAGGGTGCGCTCGCTCTGCCTCCTCAGGGCCTCAGAATAAGTTGACGTTGTACTCCAAGTCGGCCCCGTCCGGGACGCAGCGTGAGTAGAGCCAGTCCTGCCTGAGCTTTGTGGTCCAAGTGCTGGCGATACTAGAAGCACACGTTGTAGAGCCAACGGGGTCTGTGTAGCCCTTAAAGTCATGGAAGGTTGCCTGATCTATTGAAATGAGGCAACTCCATACCCCTGCCAAGTGCACTCGCTCGTGGTGTCTGTTCCCTGTCTCCGGCGAGCAACTTGGTCCACCCCAAACCAAAAAAGTTCAATCCTGTTCAATCATGCCCGGGCGCCTCGGTACTGGCTACTAGTAACCTCAAGTCTTAAGCATTGTGACTCCACATTGCTCAACGGGACGGGTCTGCCAACTCGCAGAGCATCTGTGGACGGATCTCGAAGAAAAAGTGGAATTCCAGGCTAGATGGGTTACGGGCGACTTCATGTTATTGAGCTCTTACCGCCCCTGACCGACCATCTCGTGCAACTCCCCTTGAAACGGTCAGCTGCTGAGTCGCATCCCACAACTTCCGCATGTTGAAGCTGTGAGTGGAGCTCTTGATGTGATCAAGTGATTGCGTGAGCAGGAAGCCTGTCTCGTGCTACTGCGCCAGTTTGAGACACGACCCCAAGAAGCCAACTGAGCTAGCAGAGTGGAGGAGCACGCAAATACGGAGTCTAATCGAATCTGGAGAACCGTTGGTTTTCATGGGCAGTTTCAATGGGATAAATGCCCCGACTTCGGCATCGCACGGAGGCATGCGCCCGAGCCGTGCACGGCGGAAGCCGAGGGGCAGGCGGCGAGGCGATCGACGGTGCTGGGGTTGATGCGTCGGGGGGTCCAACACTTGGGAGGGTCCCTCCGGCTTTCTTCCTTAATTCCGGTGAAGGCGGTGCTGGTCCGTCCGCATGCGAAACTTCACCCAAGAATCACAGAAGCAGGGACCTGCGACTGCACCAGGTGTACAAGATGTAGCTGACGATCGCGAAGAGGTGGAAGAGGACGAGCCAAAGCCGCTCCGAGGCTCGGCGATTCGTGTCTTTGGGGGCTGCTGGCACCTCGAAGCTCTGCCCAAGAGCAGCTGAACACCAGAGAATTCAGGCGGCAGAAGTGCACCCATCAGAAGTTCAGGTGAGTCCGCTCTCCTGCTTATGGCTTTCTAAGATTATCGGCATTTCTCTTGCATGGTTGCCCGGAGACAGGTCGTCCAATCGTCTCGTTCGTGCCAGCCCAGCATCAAACTTGGCAGGTGAATTGAATTTTCGTGCCAGTGCCAGGTCTCCACTGGTACTTCTTCAGTTGGGGCCTTGGGACGAGGACTAGGACTAAAGGTTTCAGGCCGCATGGGGTGGCAATGGGGTGGCAAAGAGCACCCTGCAGGTCCCTGGCCTCCACGGTAACCCCTGCCCGCTAAGATTTGTCGTCGTCCTGTCGGTTGCATGTTGCCAGTCTTGCTTGCTCTTTCTGTCGGTACTGCCCTTGTTCTTGATGATGTTGACGTCAGCTGCCGTCTCTTCAGCCGCATCTCCGAGTGCTATAGCTCTGCTGTACAAATTTCCACGATCACAGCCACATCTTCAGAGCCAGTGCAGTCGGAGTGCTGTACCAGCCTTCGGAGTAGGTTTCCGCTCTTGGCAGCTTCGGCCCAAGCTCGGTCTGCTGTGCAGCGGCATCAGCGGCCAGAGCTTCAAATCACGGTCTACTCGTGAGCTGAAGGCCACGAGCAAGAGATCTAGTTACCTAGTTTCATGATGCCCGACCGAAGTGAAAACATCGACAGGCTTGAGTTCAGGAGGCAAGAGGATGTCAAGGAAGGCTGATCGATTTTTTCTGACGCTGCCTGCTATGGCATGCTTGTCGCTCCCGAAGCTCCTGTTGGCCGGGGATCAAGTGATGAAATGCCCCAACAGCGAGCAGGCCGCGGGTCGGGACTTGATGCCTTGCTTCGACGTGGGGCCTGGGGCTGTGTTGAAGCGTTGGCGTTGGCCATTTATTTAGGGTCACGCTTTGGATTTGGCTGGGAGTGTTTGGGCAAGATGCTCACCCGGCAGAAACTGTTTGTCTCCCAAACACGGAGTTGAGCAACTTTGCAGTCTCAGTTTTCTGCAATGCCCCGAGCCACTGTCATGCGAGTCGCAGGGGTCGCTGGAGTTTGTTGTCGTGTTGTGGACTTTTCACTCATCGTGCCATCGGACTTCCAGTCATCTATGCTGTATTTCAGGAGAGTGTGGTCTCAGCCCTCTCATAGGCCTTGTGCGACCTCTTGAAGAACTTCGGCATTGACACATCGCGCCTTGGACAGGCTTTGAAGGATCTACGAGGAAACTACTAGTAACGCCTTGGCCTGCTTCCGCCAGTAAACTGGCAGTTAGTGGTGGCCAAGGTGCTCCCGTCGTCTGAAGAGAAATAGTGAATTACGAATACGGACAGGAGTCATCTAATCAGACCAGAGTTAGCAGCAAATAAATCTTATTGGCCAGATAGTATCAGAATGTGGTTAGGTTTCCTTGTCGGCAACGCCTGACGAGGCGAACTCACGCTGTCTCACCAATGGTTCTCCGGGTATGTTCCTGAAGTTCATGGTTAGTTCGCCCCTGTTCTCGTCACCAAAACAGTCCGGCCGCCTTCTAAAAAGGGACCCTCAAGTGGCCCCGGAGCCACCTTCTCCTCTCCCAGGGCCTGGGGAGATCAGCACGCCAAGCCCGTGGTATCTCTGCTCCGGGAGCTGCGCGAAGGACTCTGAAGTTCGGCGGGGAGCACTTTTTTAGGGTTTCGGGTTAGGGTTTCGGTTTTAGGGATTATGGTTTAGGGTTTCGGGTTTAGGGGTTGTAAAAGGGTTTAGGGTATAGATTTGAGGCTTTTGAATTGGGGACGGGATGGGGGCAGTAGCCGAGCAGTTTGGGGCTGGAAAGTGTGATTGGGGCTTGGAAGATTTGAAGTTGCTCCGAGACTTTGCCAGGATCCTGCTCTCTGCGTGTCGCAAACAGGAAGTCCCTTGGTCCAGAAAAGGTGAACTTAGTCTTGGGGGCTTGCTCGCCCCATATCGACCAGCTCGGACCATGTCCGGCATCCTGTGACTGATATAAAGCAAGACCTAAGCGAGGTAAGCACAAGCTATAGAGCCACGGAAGCTCCACCAAACTAGCTCCGAGGCGCATCTACCGGCCACTTGTCTGAAAGTGCCTACAAACCTCGATGGTCGATGGCAGCCTGTAGTTACCGTCGTGCTCGGACCAAGCGGCACATGTGCCGTTGGCGTCATTGGCACATGTCGGAATTGGAGTGCACCCAGGCTGGTGGAGCCTGTCTTCGTCCAGATGCCTGGCTGAAAGGATCGAGTCGTCGGCCAGGCCTAGGCGGCGGCTAAGCCGCTAAGCGCTCCGCTGAGGATCACCTACTGCGGAAAGGTCTTGGTGGAGCGCATGAAGATCTTCCCCAACGGAATGCGCCGAGAGCATCGCTCCGTGCTCGCGGAGAAGAAGGCCCCCGCAGATTGAAGAGCGAAGGGACAGACCCGAAAGTGTCTCTGCCCACTGCCCTTGGAGACGCTCAAGGCCCTCTCAGATCATTCTGCCTTGCACGCGGCCATGCGGGGAATCCGAGAAGAACTTCACGATTCTTGTCTGCTGTTGGTGTCGGTGGCAGTCGTTTCAATGCGGCCATTGCAAGTCATCAGTATACCAACATTGGCCGAGTTGCAAATGTACGGATGCAGAGAGGTTTGCAGCATTGAGCTCAGCTGGCATGGGTGGCAGTAGCATAGAAAGTTTGGTTCAAATCACTTTCAGTAGTTGTGTATCTTGAAGCATTTCCACAAAAAGTGTATAGTATAATGTGAGGGATAGAGAAATGTGGAGACACGCAGCAATGGGCGTGTGTGGGTGAATTGTTCCGAAAATCAGGTGGACGTCGGTGAAGGAACCGAGGGTCTGGTCCACAGCCCCCAGGAGGACGTCAGCCTCTGGGCTCAAAACTTTTTCATGACAGAGACGGTTGCTTTTTCAGGATGGAAGTCGAGGCTTCGATCGGGTGGCGGCTTCGTCGCCCATACTCTGCGCCCGACGACCCCATCCAGTCAAGTCAAAGAAGAAAATTGAACAGGGTGCAGCCCCGCGATCCAACAGCTGCCCGCCTTTGCACTGGCGGCGCTCGCACGTGCAATCACAAGCGTGGTGCCCAGGTTTCATTGAAGAGCTGGACTCTGCATCTTACCCTGGGCTGCCGGCAGTCTACGAGACGAGCCACATCCGCCTGAACGAAGCTTCACTGCGATGGGACATGGCTGGGTCCTAGGTCCTAGGTCCTAGGTTAGTTTGCGGCTACAGTATTTCCTTGTGAAGTTCAAGCTCGTGTGGGGGATGTATGGGGGACTTATTGCAGACTGCGACGAGTGATATCCCAGTCGTTGCTAACTTATGACCTCAGCGTGCCGCTGCCTTGGAGCTTTTGCACGAAGGTCCAGTCTGGGAGCTCCGCAGAGCGTGCTTTCACCCACTGCGGACTCTCGGCCGAAGCTGCGCCGCTAGAACCCTTGCAAGTCCTGCCATGGCCAGAAAGCATCTTTAGGGAAGATGCTTTTGAAGAGTTGGAGGACTCCCTGCTTGCAAGCCCTTCGAGACGGTAGAGATGAAGTTGGAGGGCGAGCTGCGCTTGGGCTGGGTGGAAGCCCTAGACCTTGCTGCAATTGTCCATGCTCAACAGCTGCAGTCTGCGCAACTCTATTCCACTACGGTTGCGATGCTTCTCATTGTAGAGAGAAAGATGAAGCAGCAGAATTCCGGCATATGTCGCCTGCCTCGGTAACTTCGATGCGCAGGAGTGGGTAGAGTTTCACGAAGCCCTACGCAGCGACTTGGCCTTACCTGGCCGCGAGATCGTGCTGAGAACACTTTAAGTTTTGCTGCGTGTACGGGGTACCTACTTTGAAAGTTCACCGTGCTTGCTTGCTCTTTTCTAATTTTCGAACCTTTGGTTTTGACTTTCCTTTGACCATGCAAACATTTGTTGTAGGACTTTCAGTAATGCTTTCGCGGTGGCGACAGGCCTGAGCGATCCTTGAGCACCTGAGCCGCCTGAGCCTTGCGCTGCCAAGCTGCCAAGGCAAGATCAAGGGCATGGAGGTGCCGCAGCAAATCTCGAAGAGGAAGCCGATGAACATGAATGACAAGTCGCCCAGCAACAAGGCGGGAACGGGAGCGGCACGCTTCGAGATCAGAGACCAGGATCGGAAATAAGAATTGTTGCCAGCTATTGTTCTGGGAGGTAAGAAGGGGATCGGCAGTGGTTGGCAAAGTCCGGAACTTGAACTGCAAGCCGAGCCGTTCCATTGTAGCATACTGGTATCGCCCACATGGTAGCTCACACTTCGAACTTCAACCCCGAGCCTCTGCCGCCCGCAGGCGCCTCAAGGCTTCCACTCGCTCCCAGTATCTCTGGGACGTTTGTTCCCGCATGAGGACACGTGAGGTTCGGCTACAGTTCCTCATGCCTTGTTACACTTTCTAGTCGTATTCATGTCTCGGAAGTAAGTAATAAGCAGTAGTCAGTAGTCCGGTGGCCTCATTTCAGATTGCTGGCACGGAGCATGCAGCATGAGTTGCCATGTGCAAACCTTCAAGGCTACTTAGCCACTCTCGGCTTCGGAATAATTCTGTTTCCGGATGTTTCGGATTTGTAAGCAGCGAGAGCTTTCTTGCCCTCTGCCCTCCCCCCCACCCTCAGGCACGTTCGTGTTTGCGTAGCCTACGCCCCCTGAGAGCACCCTGCATGCGAGAGTGCTCTCCGAGGGGCAGTGGAGGCACCGTACAGCAATAGCCTACCACTGCTGCAGCACCTTCGGATGTTGACCACGCGAGAGAGACGCCTGGTTTTTCCCGTGTGGACTGTGCTCAAAGCTGTAGGTGGCAAGTCGGTAGAGCTGGCTGACATGACGTTTCTGAATCACTGAGTCGTGCCCATCACAGCTTCCAGCCGGACCACGGAGGTGCGTAGAATTCTCTAAATCTCCTGGAGGTCTTGTCGGTAACCGACAGTGACCATATGACCATGCTTAGTGTCTGAGTGGACAAGCGTCGCACGATGTCAGACGAGCTGAAAAGATACCGATATAAGAATCGTGCGGAGTGCAGCCAGGATTTGTGTGTGCCACGATGAGCTCGAGGGTGGAGCTGTCCAACATGCGTGTCGGGCATGGCCGACGGTCAAGCAAAGAAAGAGCGAGAGATAGTGCCGGAATGCAGATATGTGTACCATGTACACATTGCAGGACAGCGGGATTCGATCCGCACGAGGGACAGTCAAATCGCCACAAGCCTTCATCTGCGGACAGGTCTGGGTTTCTCATGAAGAAGACAGTATGCGCTTTAATATACTTCGCATCTGTGTCTCAGGAGTTGACTCATGCATTCGACATGAAGCTACAAGAGCACAGGATGCGAGGTCGCTGCAGCGATAGTGGTTGCCGGAACAATTTAACATACTCGTACAAGTCGATGACACCCCACCTCGTCAGGCCGAGACGTGACAGTTCTCGTAGACCTGAAGTTAGCAATTGTAGAAGCACGCTTGTTTGCAGGTTCGAAGGTCTGCACCGCTTGGTCTGCACCGTGCATTCACAGTGACAAAGATTTTTTGCTTAAAGATGCGTATTTAGACACATGTCCACATCAATCACCCTGCCACTCAGCAAACAGATAATTGGAGTCCCTGCCCAGGCTTGAGCATTCTCCTGGTGACGGCGCTGTCTTTCCTGAACTTTATGGTGCCACTGGGTTTTCAATAACAACTCATATCGAACAGCGTCAACATGCTGCCTTTTGCTATCTGCGGGCATGGAAGAGACCAGCGAAGCGAGAACCTAGCCCAGTGAGACCAGAATGAAGGGGCGGGAATGAACAATTCATGACCTAGCGGTTTATGTTATATGTACGTGTTGATGTGTATTTTTCATACACACACACATGCCTTCATTGTCATCACAACTTGTCTTGGCTGTGCACTTTCGGTCCGGCGGCCCTGGTGCTGCAACAGCCAGCCGGACAATCATAGGACGTCCAGGAGCACAGAAAAGTCTTCAACGTCGCAGACAGGGCCACTCACAGAAAACCACTGCGACGCTCTAATACGGACTCACATCCACTCATTGTTTTCATGCTTGGCCACCTTGCTGATTCTGTTTTTGCACTCGAGACTGATGGCGAACCCTGCGGTGTGAAGCACAAGGTGTGATCGTCTGGTCCTTTGAAGAGTATAGAATCACGATGTCTGGGAGTCTGGGTTTCGTTAAGCTTGTGATGCTGAATAGCTCGCTGCTTTCCTAGAAGCACCCCGTGATTCAGGCTATTCCTTTTCGATTCATTGGAAGAAACAACATTGAGTTGAAGAGCTTGGAGAGTCCTGTCAGTGACGAACTGAAGAGCTCCATCATCGAAGTCACTTCAAACCTTTTTGGGCCAGTCGCTCCCTGATCCGCGAGCGCATTCGCTGCTAAGTGTCGGGAGCTGAGCTTCATGTTGCCAGCCCCAAGCCGAAGCCTAAGCCCTCAATCCTGGAATTTCCAGGCCCCCCTCGGTTTATCAGGTGTGCCATGGTGGACGACTTTCGTAGCCATTTTGACTCAAGGCCAAGGCTGGCAGAAGACTCAAATCTAAGAAGCTCTCAGCCCCCATGGCTGGTGTGGATGTAGAGCACTACACCGTGAAGGATCAGAGATGCGGCCAGGAGGAATACCGTAACGTGAAATTGGTCCTCAAACCTGACTTCACAGCTCAGCACATGGATTGCACGACTGGCTGTGCGGGTGGCTTTAGCACGACGAAGCTGGGAACGTATACCGTCAACCAAGAAAAAGGCATTGTCGTTGTAAAGTTCACAAAGAGTCAATACGACCACAGCGACGCCTCCAAGAACGAGGAGACGGACATCGACGACACTGAAGAGTACGCTCTTGAAACTTTGGGCATCAAGTGACATGCAGCTGACAAGTCGAACGTGGCCCAGACAGAAAGCGCCAGAAGTAGTGTCCCAGTTTCATGAGCCGATCAAAGGATAGTCGTACTGAAACATACCTACACTCCCCCCCCCACACACACATAGACACATATGTATATATATATATATACACACATATATATATATATAGATATATTTTTTGTATGTATGTGTGTATAACATGCACATGTATGTCTATGTGCATATGCAGATACAGGTTATGCTCTGAATGAGCCCAGTACCCATAGGGCCCATGTCGGTGAAGATGATCACGATGATGAAGGCGGTGATACAGACCCGTAGATGTCAATATCAATATCCTAAGACCGGTTTTTGTCCGCAACATTTACGACATCAGGGACCCTAATCTGAATCAACGGATCGTATTGAGATTAAACCTTCATGTAAGCTTCGACTTTAAACAATGTCGACCGAGAAAAGCAACGTCGACTGAACAAAAACAACGTCGACCCTAACGCTAACCCTGGCGGTAGGCTAGATCTTGGCACCAATGGTGACCCGAACTTGAACCGTGACAGTAGCCTCAAAACTTCCCAGAACGCAAGGATGAAGACTTGAGCCGAATAACGGGCTGGAGGCCTCAGTCTAGCCTCCCAGTTTGCTTTGAAAGTAACCTGTTTACTGAAAACAGCCACCCTCATGTTGACCGAACAATGACCTCACGATTCATCCGTGTGCTGGCACCAATGTAAGCATTCCACGTAGCATAATCTGACTTCAACCCCATCCGTAATGATATTGGAGCCTTTCTGACAGCCCTCATGACCAGTTTTTGTACGGAACTTAATCGCACACCAGCAACTAGCATGACCCGCAGTCTAGCCCTATTAGTAAACCGAGTACAACGTGTAACAATAACCCCGACAATGGCCATAGCAAGCAACCCAAACACTTGAACATGAGTTTCATTCAAGTATTTCCAAAAGCTCGGGGTCCGAACCATTGAAAACATAAAACTGGGGTTCATTCATTGGTTGAGCTGTTTCAAGTGTTTCAATTACTGCACTTCAAGTATTGAAATATCGGAGAAAGGGCCCCTTAGGAGTAAAACATAAGGTTAAGGCTAGGGGTTTATCATCAAGCCAAGTAATCTTTTCAATTAGTTCGCTCGTGTTGGGGCCCGAATAACTAATTGAAGCAGTTGAAATCGTGTCCTTTGTTTCCCTTAGGGCACCTTGTCCCCCATACCAAGAGTGGGAATGATCTAAACACTTGTATTAGTGCCTATTTCAATGCTTTCAGTTAGTTCGAAAGTTTTGAGGTCGGGACAGGCTAAATGGGTTCCATTTCATGTTTTAATTCCACGCATCAATTTTCACTTTGTTTCAATTTCGTCAGTTCTTTCAGCAGATTTGGGGTCGCCATCGTTATAGTTGAGCTTGGGCCCAGTTCAATCATTTCAATGCTTTTCGATAATGCTCACACGAAGCAAATACCAGCATCATCTTCCACATATACACACATATATGGATCATGTATATGCATAAAAAAAGATGTGTATATATGAATATCTAAATGCATATGGCTATATACATCTACTTCATGTGAGTTGTCTAATTGACTTGTTCTTGACGGGTTCACTTCTGAATGCTGCCGACAAAACCACCTAGACCTTCAACTCTTTTGGTTAACCGAGAGCTTCAGCACTGCGCAGACCACCACCGTGATGATTGTGCATGCTGCAGGTTCAGCAAATCAAAGCTGTTTTGCCATTTGGTCCGTGAGCCCGTGTGTCCTGGGGCCAAGGCAGTGTTGTTGAAGCGCCAAGCGGCTATAGCCGGGGTACGGCGCCAAGTTGAGTGCGTCGAGCTTGTGAACGCATCAATCCTTTTGCATAGTTGGGTTTCACCTTGGTGAGCCTAAAGCAAGACCTGCCAGCATAGCCGCAGAAGGTCTGAGGCTGCAGGGTCGAGGGCTGGGACGAGGGTCAGAACATCCTCTGGCATTCCTTTGCCTCGGTCAAATTCGGATCAAGCCTGCTCTGGATGCCCCGTTTTCGGCACAGTGTTTTCCCGCCAAGGATCCGCATTCCAACCCGTCCATGTCGGCCATGAGCGATCAGGAGTGCTTTAGAGTCTTTAGAGATTTTTGCCCGTGCCAACATTGCACATCACGTGGAGTACTGTATGTGTGTCGAAATGTGAAGCTGCATCATATCGACGCGCAAAGCACCAACGACAAGCAATTGGGGATGAAGCATTTGTCCTCGAAGACATCGCAGTCCGTATGGAAGTATTCTTTTCAATGTATTCCAGCTGGTTTCCTGCTTGCGGTGGGGTTTCTGTTTGGGCAGGAGCGTGTGGCTTTGCTCAAGGCACGGTGTGTGTGTGTGTGTGTGGGTGGTGCGCAGAATGGCAAACTCATGCATCGGCTGAGCTTGTCCCTGCCGCAAGCACTGCTTGAAGTAAGTTCATATCATGTATTCCCTGGTCGAGCAGATACGAGCTGAGCCGTTCAATCATCCGGTACACAGTTTCAGGAGCCCTCAGAATGCAGCTGGGCAGTGCTGTACAAAGGTGCGTAAGTGAACCTGGCGCAAAAAACTTGTTGGAGTTACAACTTCCTGGCCAACCGGTGCACATTTATCTCGTTAATGTGTTCAAGTACTACCAAGTCTTCCATCGGCTGTATGCCTGCTGTACCGCGGGAGATCTGCTTCTTGCCAAATGAGTACCACAACGAACCATTGCAAGAGGCAGCCGAGGAGGCATTACAAGTGCCGCTCCCCGTGGTGAAGGCAGGGAGAGCTGGCTTGATGTGGACTCTCACAGCTTTCAAGCTCAAGACCATTGAAGCAATCCGACGTGTGAAACTCCCTAAGTGTCCAGACCGCTACGGGCGCGCGGTCCGTTGCTGGTGCGGCGACGCCTTCGCCTGGAAATCCCAGCTAAGTCCTGCTTGGACAGGCACGTCGTGAGACCAAAGAAGCAATTACATCACTACGTAGACTCAGACTCGGTCAATCCATCTCAAACCGCAGCATCTACTGCCAGCTGCACAAACCTAGAGGTCGAGCTCGTTTCCGAACATCGCGAAGTGCCGGTCAATCCGGGTTCATCAGAATGATGGGGCATCGTAGATGTTGGTCCTCTGCGAAGTCGCCGAAGATGCCGAAACCGAGGCTCCGAGGAAGCGGCCTGGCAAGCGGAGCGAGCGAGACACCGAGCCAGTGGGGCACTCAGACTGAGGCTACGGCTACGGTTCGCGATGTGAGCCTGAATGCCAGAGCAGAAAAGTCCGACCGCACTTTCCGTCGGCCGCACCCTCCGTCAGGCAAGAAGAGTGATGATCAGTCGTCATCGTTCGTCAACTCTTGTGGCGTTTTGAGCCAGAGACCGTGCACTTGCCACAGCCAAGCAGATTTAACCTACGACTGCCTCACAGAATCCGATTTCAACAATCGGTTGATCAGCGGTGTGTTTGTTGCGAGAACAATCAGAGCAAGACTTAGACGGGGATAAGGACACTTGTCTGATTGTCACGACGGTGGACACCATCCCGAACCATGAGGCTTTCGGATCGAGAGCAGCTCGATGCGCTGCGCTCAAGGTCGCGCCAGGCTCGCGTCATCAGAGCATAATCCGCGAAAGGATGTTACAGGAGCTATGCATGCATGCAGGCAGCATTCTGATCCAAGCCTTGTATGTGGTCTTCGGATTTCTTGGGTAAGCTGCTGTTCATTGCAGTCCTGCAGCCGGACCGTCACGAGCATGAAAATGCCTCGTTTGGAGAGTGCGGGCATAGCCTCCCTGGAGGCGGCAGCAGCTTCTGCGTTGGGGCCGGCTTGTGCCAAGGGAGGTCCAGACCTCCCGTGTTTGCATCACACGGACCTAGCTTGGTTGAGCACATAGGATCCAACTGTGATCTTGAAACAGTTGATGTGAGCAGGGCATGCGCTGCTTCAGGAACTTGGACATCGCGTCCGCTTCATGTTCTAAGAGAAATTTGCCATTGCTGCCTACCCCTGTCTGGCGGGGAAGTTGTAGCGGCTTATGGTGGGCTGTCCTCTTTGGTGCACAGGTTTCAAGATGATTTGTCGAGCAGAGTCGACTCTAGACGAAACCAGCCCCTTAGACTGTAGAGTCTTCTTCTGAACACACATTGCCGAAAGATTGAGTTGTTTGGTACCCGCTCGTAGGGCCTCACCGGCTGCTAGAATCCAAGGGGTTCCGTCCGGGGCGTGGCACCAGAGTCATCATTCCAGGCTGTTGTCTTGGCTAAATCAGGCTAAATCTGTCCGTAGGATGTTCACACCATCATGTCGGAAAGGAGCCGCCGACCGGCAGAATGCCCCGATGCAAGGGCTTTCGTGAAGCATCCAACCTTCGAGAGCCAATGAAAACTAGATATCTGAAGGGCTGTCGAAGATCCGTCACTGGAGTCTGGAGGCCTTGCAGTTTTTTCGGGGGAAAGCTGGCTGCAGCTGCTTGGCAGCAGCTTCGGTTCGCCGATGAGTAAAGCAGGCAGGCGAAGAGGCATAGAGGGCTCTTCTTCCTTGCTTGCGTCACCTGAAATATCTCGTAGCTGGACTCCGAGCGTCTGAACACTGCCTGATACCCTGAAGGAAGCTTTTGGAAGATAGATCAGCGGCACATTTGGCACAGGTTTTTCTTGGAAGCAGCTTGGTTGTGCGACCCTGCCGATGGTGAGGCTGGATGAGATGGTCGACTCAGACGAGATTGCCTTTGGTACCTGCCGCAGCGATACACTTGCGATGTTTGGATCCACAGCTTCGTTGTGCTCTGCTTGCAGGATTGTGTGGGTGTCGGGGGAACTTGCGTGCACCACCAATCGTGCGCTCAGTCGCAGATGTGGCTCGAACTTGCCTGAGTGCAAGGAGCCGTCCGATTCCATTTATTCGATAACCGAATCTTTCCTTCTACCCAGCTCGAAGCCCCGCAGCTGCCACGTGGAAGGGCCGAGGAGATTCTTGGCGAATCAAGCGTGCATGTTCTTGGAACACGTGATTGGCCGGACGCGTGGCTCCTTAGAGGTTTTTGCGTGGAGATAGTCGGAGCCTGGTTTTCTTTGCTTTTCGACATGACCGCCCTGGGCCCTGGGTCCCCATAAGCTTGTCGGCATAGGCGACGCTGCTTCGCAGCGATGCGGCTACAATGGTGCCTGCTGACTCTTCAGGCCGGGTCTGGTCATAGGAGCCCGTCTGTAGCTGTCGGAACTAGTAGCTGGGATGTTGTCAGGTCTTTCGGCCCGGACGTGGTTCTTCAGTATAGTCAAGGAAGGGATCAGCACTTTAGACGAGGATGTCGATTGAGGCGTGGCTCTCCGTCGATGCAGTGATGAAGCGTGCAACAAGAGAATCAATATGTCACAACATATGCATCCGTGAAGGCTGGCCCGTCTTGCTTTCCAACCTGTTGCTGTCCTTATCCTCTTGCTTTCCAAACTGCTGCTGTCCGTTTCCACAACGAGACGATTTGCGCGACATCTGGCTAAGCTCATGGGTTTCCTGTCTCAGGTGGTCACAGTCAGCAGCGGCAAGCTTTGCTCTCCGGAGGGTTGCTGGGCAGATTTTCTAGTCACGCACTAACGTGAGATTGCGGGTTCGTGACGAAACTCCACATAGCAGATTGTTGGAGCACTTGACAAGACACAAGAAGAACATGCAGAGGTCTGTCAAGCAGTCTCACTCTCTCTGAAACACTCGTTAAATCCAAAGCTGCGCTCTGAATACTGTACTCCGTTGCTTGGCGAAGGGTAGCTGCGCTGTTGAACCAATTCGCAGCCTCGCTTCCAAACAACGCGTTGCTGAGGCACTTGTGAGGCCCTGGATTGGGATGATGACTCCGCGATCTTCCTTATGCAGGCAGCGGCTAAGCCGACGCAGAGGACGCCTTCTCGAAACGTGGCTGATTATGCGTGGGAGATGGGAGCCCTTGCATCGTTCAATCGGCTTGTCTGGAGCATGCATGCACTGCTAATGACTTACCCACTTACACACACACACACACACACACACACACACACACACACACACACACACACACACACACACACACACACACACACACACACACACACACACACACACACACACACACACACACACACACACACACACACACACACACACACACACACACACACACACACACACACACACACACCACACACACACACACACACACACACACACACACACACACACACACACACACACACACACACACACACACACACACACACACACACACACACACACACACACACACACACACACACACACACACACACACACACACACACACACACACACACACACACACACACACACACACACACACACACACACACACACACACACACACACACACACACACACACACACACACACACACACACACACACACACACACACACACACACACACACACACACACACACACACACACACACACACACACACACACACACACACACACACACACACACACACACACACACACACACACACACACACACACACACACACACACACACACACACCCACACACACACACACCCAAACACACACACACACACACACACACACACACACACACACACACACACACACACACACACACACACACACACACATTGATATTTGCATACATACATACATGCACACATACCAGGCATACTATTTTTCTTCAGTTTTATCCGGCTACAAGCGCATGAATGCAAGCATACATACATGCACGCACGTGAACATCTACAGGTCGTCTGTATAATATATATATATACACATTCTGCATATATATGTATATGTATATGTATATGCATATGTATATGCATATGTATATGTATATGTATATGTATATGTATATCTATATGTGTGTTTGTGCCTGTGAGATGTCATGCTGTATGTATACATACACGCACACAATAATGCACATGTAGCATGTGTGTTTGTACGCATGTAAGCCAGCATGTAATCATGCATGTATGCATGGGTGCACGTATGTGTGCATGCGTGTACTCGCACATACGGAATGCATGCGTGCTTATGCATGCTTATTTGCACGTGGACGAATGTAGAGAGGTCGCACTTATGTGCATTTGTATGTGTATGTGTCATGGTATGCTGCCATGCACACGTATGTAAACACACCTTGCCGCGCATCCATTTATGGATGCATGCATATGTATTTCATATGTTGCATGCGAACGTACATATGTACACATACATACATACATACATACATACATACACACATACATACATACTTGCACACATACAAACGCAACACACGCACCTGCATGCTACACATAGACGCCCCAGAGCTGCTGCCAGCCTTGTTCGTAGGATACGTGGAGCCTCCAGCCGCTTGGAAGCGGACCAGGAGAGCGAGGAAGAGGCAGACGCGGGACTCTTCCGAACCGTAACGGATTGAATCCGAGCCTCGGAAGTCCGAGTGTTTAGGATTGTGCGCCATTGAGGAACTCAAAGGCTCACATATAGAGTCTACCATGTAGAGGCTTGATGTTGTGCTTGGCTAGAGCCGCGAGCCGCCATCTTACAATCTTGGCCTTCCGTTTTACCACTCGCTTTACCAGCTGTCTTGACAGTGCAGGCAGAGCCTGCGCCGGCGGCCTTGGACGAGGTGTCGTCAGCCACGGACTATAATCGCCTTGAGAACAACTCACCAACATCTCTTCTGTTCAACTTGTGTTTCCCTGCAAGTGGGTTCTGCGGACGGTTTCGGCTCCGTGTTGCTGTAGCTTCAGACAGCGGTGACCCCCAAGCAAGGCTGGCAGCCTCGAGTTTGCTGCAGCGGCAGCGTCTTTTGCAGCAGCAGCTCGAAAGTGCAATGCTCCACTCATCGCCATTCCGCATGTTTGAACTCAGGGGTTGACGTATTCTGAAAAGTTGCTGCGGCACATGCCAGCTAACCGCATGATGATTGGTGATGATTGCATAGAACATAGAGTCGTGCTCTTCGAGGAAGAGAAAGCCAAACTTGGGCCGGGCACAGGCATTGGTATATGCAAGGTACGGCGGTCAGTTTCTGAGCTGAGGCACAAGCTGCGAACAACGTTTCACTGCCTCCGCTGAGCAGTGAGTATCTTCGACACAAGGTTGGGATGAGGGTTCACGCAAGGCAATCGTCATGGTAGCTTGACCTTCGTGATTTTGTGGCTGTTCTCATGGCCTACTGAAGCTTCGCCTTCCAGCGTGCCGTCAACCACGATGTCTGCAGAATTAGCTGCCAACCCTGTGGCCAGTTCTTTGAAATGTTCTCCGATGTTGCGATCGACGCCCGCGGCAACATCTACATGGAGAACGGGACCGTGCCTACAGGAGACTGAAGATGTTTTGGCAAAGCGTGTCTACCATCGTCGGGGCTTGTCTCACGAAGACCAGGGCTCTGTCTCGCCCTGAAATCCGCGAGGATCCGATGTATGGAGGGAAGGAAACTGGATCAAGGTCAGCGAGTGGCATCCAGCAGGCTCCGACACGCGTCTGACAAAGCCCCGGTGGCTCTTCGACGTTTTCTGCATCGTTCTGAGTTGCAGGCGTCGCCTCCAACGTCGGCCCGTGGAAGCTGGTGAGGCAGCGCCGGGTAAACCCGTTAGCCCCTATCTCTCGAGGTTCGTAGGTGCAACAGCTTGTTGATTCTTCTCTCTGCTGCATTCTGTGGCCCGCTCATGACATCAGAAATTGTGGTTACTTTCGCGCATGTTTCCTCTTCACCCGGCTGGTGCAAGCCCCGAGCCAAGAGCCCTGCCTCAGAGGTGGAACGACGTATCCTATATCAGTGCCTGGGCGAAGTTGGCTGCCCTAAACACGAAGACATCCTCACGGACTTCTAAGTGGCGGAGAATAAGGGAAACCTTGACTTTAGAAGTAGGGTTTGACGATTGAGTTTAGTTTGGGCAGCACACTCCGTTTCCGCTGCTGGCTGGTCTAGATTTTTGGGTTTGTGAAACTTGGTCAGAGTTTCAATGAAATGAGAAAGGGGCGCGGTGCTTGAGCCTCACTTCCTCGTCTGTATTCTTCGGACACCATGTTTCGCATGAGATGGTCTTTTCTGATTCTAGTTCAACTCTGACTGCACTTCAGTTTGGGCTCACAGGTTTTACTTGACCCTCTTCAACCCTACACCTTGTCTTGCACACCCCGAAAGTCTTGTCTGCTTGTTTTCTCAGCGATGTCGCTTGTTTGTTCTTGTTTTGCTTTCAAATTAAATGGGTCGTCAGGCCGACAGCGGATCAAGCATTGCTGTTTTAGCAGCTCTCGATGTTAGAACAGCCCAGGCATCACCATGACCAGCTTCCTATGCGCTGTCGCGTATCCAGCTGTGCTGGTTGGAATTCTTTTGGGTCTTACCGTGTCCCTTGGCTGGAGGTGGGTCCGTCACTCTCTGCCTTCGGCTTGCCGTGCACCTCAATGCACCTCAAACTCTCGCTTCCAGCCTGCGTAAGGCTCGTGAGCATGTGCCTGACCGTAGAGGACCAGTACAAGGTTGATTTCGACAGCGGTGAGGCGCTGATGGAGAACTTACGACGAGAGCTTGCTTGCACACAGTGACACGACGTGCAAAGGGTCAAAACGTGCAGTGGAACGTACTTCTACGGCACTTGGCTCGACATTACCAGAGCACGCTCGTCCCCGCGCTAGGTCCTGACCGAAATCGAACTCGAACTGGGATGCTGTTCTCTGAGCCGCAGCGTACTAATTAGTCAA